CGATCATAGTGCTACGACTATCGTTAGCTTATGTTATAGTACATGTAGTATGGGAGTTACGATCACCTTAGCACTAAAATCACTTTGTGGAATGGGGCCCTAATCTACTTCACAGTACTCTAGAAGACCTGGGTTGGAAAAGGTCTTCAGCAACCCATGCTTGTCATAAGAAGCGTCTAAGCTCCTTGTAAGAGGCGTGTAACTGGATTTGGTGGTCAGGCTTGCTGACTTGGTTGATGCATGTCATCATATCCTAGTTGCATGAATCGATGCTCATGATGTCAATCACCAGAGTGTCTGGTCCAGACTCGATTATTTACAGACCATCGTCATATAGCTGGAATATTGCTGAGTGGAGCTTTAAAGAACAAACTTTACAGGAATGTCGTTATTAACCAACGTAACATTTTCTATACATCAATATTTCTGTTCCCGTTGCCCAAGGTCTCTAAGCATTGGAACAAAGAATTGATTGATTATCCAGATTATGAGTTTTTTGTTTACATGTAGGATATTTTAAAGCATGTCAACCATGTTAAAATGATGAGGCAATTTTGGGTGCTTATTAATATTAGTTACTCCTTGTTCAAACAGAATTTACATGATGAACATGCTTAGAGGTTGGAATCAAAAAGTACAGATGACAGTTGACAAGCACAAGTTTATTTAAACATGTTTAACGATATGACTGACTTTGAGTAATAAGGTATACTTTTTAACTATTATAATTAAAGCATGTGGACGCTTGCATTGATGTTGTATGATGCCAAACTTTGGACTAACCTTATATTGTTATGTTTTATTGGTTATGGGTTTAAAATCAAATATGGAAAAAGTGGGGTCCATAAGTTGAAAATCCTCGAACAGAGGTAACTGACAGGCTGTTCCACATAATTGCCAGTCTGTTCTGTTATCTGGTTTGGGGTTATCAAAAGCACATACTATACTTGCTAGAGATATGATGCTATCATGGTTGAGTTAGACATTAATGGTTGGCATAAGAATAAGTGCAGCTTTCAGCAAAATATTAATACCGTATTCAACATAATACGCGCCCAGGGCGCTCTCAAACTTAGATATAGGGGGCTCTTATTAGAATATTATTTTCATGAAAAACAACAGAGTTGAATGATCGTAAATTTCACGGTTATGCCGACAGCCTGAAATGTTTATATACGACAGATATATTTTTCCAGGATTTAATTTCACATAAATAAGGATGCATATAACACACGTATTATACATGAATAAATAACTTATAAGTCTTGTGTACATTGATCAATCGGAAGGGGTGCTAATTGGGATTGTTCACTAGCCAATATATTAGCAAATATCGCCGTGGGTGCTTATTAGAGCGGGGTGCTTATTACGTTGAATACGGTACATGCTTATTATGCATTACAGTGTTCATGACATGCTAGTTTCACCTTACATGTCCTGGGCCCAGACATTTAGAGGGCCAGCCCTGACAGGACTTACATTACACCTAGTGATTGATTTATTACGCAAATATCAGGTGATTAGCTACACACTCCCCTAAATGTCATTTTATCAGGTCAATTACATGAAAATACAATCTGTCAATCAATAGATTAGTTAGGTCACATGGTACAGAAGTGTTGTGTAATCGTGCAGTCGGCAACATGGTAAGAAGGGTTGGTATGTTCAGTTGAGGCATATTCAGTGATCTGTACTCAATGATCCATTAACAGTTATAGTGATGTGTATTGAGGCATGGTAATTGCTGAGCTAAGTGATGTGTAATGTAGTGTAACTACTGTCAATGCAGTGAAGTATAATGATGTGATAGGCAGTGAACTAGTATCAAATTGTACTATAGAAAGCTGAGGATAGAGGGAAGTGCCACATTGTTGGCTATAGTTTAACCTCTGGGTGCTAGCAGGCTTGGAAATTATAGTGTCTGTAACTCTGACATTGACATTGTAAGACCAGTTTCATGACATTCTAGTTGTGTAAGGCATAGATAGCACCAGGGCCCACGTGCACAAACAGATCTTATCACTACAACTATTTTATGACCATATGTTGACCCTAAATCTACTGGAAAATGAAAATGATGTGCACTGAGAAATTCGGACTGTGAGTCTCAAATGTTTAGTTATGGGTGTGCCTTTTCACCGTTAACATGTTAACTGGTCTGAACTCTGATGCTGGTAAACTGTTTTGTTTGCTCATACACCCATATGTTTAAAACATGTATATTGAAATCCCCCCATAATAGGAGAAGTTTTGGCTAGTCATGCTACATGTAGTAGGAGGGAGACTATGTCACCTAGTTGGATAGTTAGTGATTTGTAATACATTGTGAGTGAAACAAAGTTTGTAGTCTGGGGTGTCATTCTACAAAACAACCTTAGCGCCAAGACTGTTTTAGTCTATGTTAAGGTATGGGAGTTATGATCACCTTAGCGTTAAGATCGCTTTGTTCTACGGCACCCTGGAAACAATATTTTCGCACTTTAAGAACATATCTCTCCCAAACAGTTTGTTAGTCTGACTGTTTTGCAAGGAACTTGAAAACAATAATCGTTCATACGAAAATGATTTAGTCAAGCTTAGGATAGGTGAAATTTGTTCCAGATGAATATGATTAAGAGTTGACACTCGAATCTCACATTCATCAGTGTTCATTGCGACTATTCTAACTTTTCCTAGGAGGAGAGGTCTAGGGTTTTCTCCTGGCTGATAGATTGGACAGGATTAATTTTCCAACAAAAGGACAATCCCACCATACATCCTTGAAGTGTGAATAAATCTGTTCCATCATGTCCATTTGTTTTGGGTTTTATGAAGCATAAAAGAATCAGGACACTCTTTTATTGCTTTATATAAGATAGCTCCGCAATAAATTGCAAAGAATAATGAAGAACGAAGCATGGTTTATTTCATGATAAAATTACATTGTTCTACGATGTCAATTCTGTAGATTCGAACATGCGCTTGCAAGTTGATTACGTCATAAATTGGACAACGTTTATTTGAGAGGAAAGTGTCTGGCGACTTGTTCCCCATAGATGTAACTGGGCAACGTAGATAAAAGCAATGGCCAAATAAGATCTCATCCAAAAGTGGGAGAGATATGACCACCGATATTGGGAGTAAAGGTACAGTTAATTGTCATGAAAATTGCGAGAATATACAGATAATACCAAACTTAACCCCCCTGATCACAAAGAGGACTTGTCCGACATTGCTGACGTCGGACTCTATTCAGGGAGTCATCATTATTTAAATACGGTTAAATATTTTTAAATCTTGTACATTTCATTCACCTCCTTATAGAGGCTGTACATAGTTTTGATATCTCGTATAAGAAATAACCAAGTCATGATCATTCTTTATTGTACAATAAAACACTGCAGGGAGAATAAACCACTTGGGACTGCGCTTCTTATTCTCCTTTATTCTCCCAGCAGTGTTTTATTTTATGATAAACAACAACCACAAGTCATTTATGTCTTAAATAACTCATATACAGGATGCTGTTTGTTTTACTTACCAACTCAGTCTGGGATATCTTAACTTTAAAGGGGTTAACATGTTAGGTAGATACTTCATTGTGTTCACAGTGTACAGTTAAAAGGGCAAGGGCGTTGTTGTTTTTTGTATACTTGGACTAATAACAGATGCTAGGTATTTTCTTTCTACTCTACTCTACTTCTTCTCTATTTATCCTGAAATAATTGGTTGATCTTTACTGTAAGGAAACAGTAAATTAGTGTAGGTAGCCACATAACCATTATCAATTCCTGGTCACCTGAGCATGTCAGTGTGGATATGTGGATAGTCTTGCTTCAACCCGCCTTCCTTGATATTAGCAAGTGTCAGTTTCAGTGTATTACAGACACACCATATGATGTTCTATGATGATGATGTTGGCACAAGGTCAGTCCAACCTGCCCAGTGACCAGTTTACCTGGACAGTGTACCCCGAGATGTTGCCTGTATCTGCAATGCTTGAGTGACCACCACCCAACACAGCTGTTAGCTTGGTTTAACATATGCAGCCACAGGCCAGGCTATCAATGGCTGTATCAGGCCTATTTCATTCAGTGATAAATGTCTGTATGTAGAATAAGTAACTGGACCAGCTGTTGGTGCAGTGTGGATTTCACATCACTGTGGTTGTGTGGTTAGAAGGACTTGGATATATCTGGTAGGTAAATGTATAAAAAAGGCGTCCATGTCACAGGTGTTCATTTCTGTTTTTTTACTTTGCATATGTATGGCTGTGTACCTTTCATGTTGTGAATTACTTTCTTTCTATGCTGTTCATGCACTATGTGTCTGAGTTGAGGGGAGCTGTGAAGCAGTGTACACCATATTGTACCATGCAATATTAACTCTGTGTTGTTAGTCTGCACACTAATACTCAAGAATTGATTTCATGTCATTGTGTAATGACGCAATCTTGATTGATCTGTTTGGATTGCATGTAATGGGTTTGTCATGTCCAGCCAAAGGTATGTTTAGATAGCAGTGCCTAATAAACGTCTTTGCATATTCATTAGGCCATGTACTGGTATGTTCCTACTGAAGACTGTGTTGACATGGTTGATGTTAAATATTCATTAGTTGAGTGAAGTAGACCTCATTGCCTATGGATGCTGGACAGTGTGTGTGTGACAGGACAGGCTACTGATTAGCAACATGCTGGTACTGGTAAGAACTGCATATTTCTCTCCTATTGCACATGTCATAGCCTGCCTCAAGTATTGTTCCATATTGTAGATCCTGTGGTGGCTCTTATGATATATCAACAATGTAGGAATCATAAGACTAATGTCCATGACAGTAACATTGAGTGTATGAATCAGCCTAATCAACATGATCAATAGTAATTGTTCTACATACCATGCATACTGAGGCTGAAGGGGTCGTTGTCAGCACATGAACTACATATACCCCAGTAGGTTTCTGTATAGAGAAATGTACCCTAGCCAAGATCAGAATACAGAAAGGTATCCTAGGATGAGTTCTTTCCACTGCATATCTGTAGTACCCATGCCGACAACGACCCCTTCAGCCACTCTGAGCTTGCCTTTCTTTCCGGCTCTTTTACAAGCTGTCATGGTCTCTAAATAATTTTGCTTGTTGATTTATTTGATATGTTCTTCCTGCAGCCAATCTGTATCCTTCAATGTGCATTGTATATTTGTTGGTGATCGATCGCTTCATATCAAGGTTTTTGGCTTCACCATGTCCCATCAGTCGCACCAGTTGTGTTTGTCCTTGGAAGTGTATTCCACTTTTACCTGTTTTTGCTGTCAGTGTTTCAGTTGCTTCTGTCCCTCTCTCTGAAGGAGTAGTCCACTTGACTAGTTGCCTGGTTACTTGTGAAAGTGACAACATGCCACTCTCTGAATACAGAATGTTCAGACCACAGTTATAAGGTTTGCTTGCTCAAGTAGAAAAACATCCCAACTGACATGATCATGATGGATTAGGTTCATGACAGGCTACTGATTGATGTCAAACTATGTTGGAGAGGACTAGCCTTCACAACACCACTGTAATACAACTAATGAAACAAAGGTCGGATCTTGTTGTTATATTGTGAACCTGTATTCAGCTTGTTTAGAGCTGCTGGCTATCTGTCTCTCAGGTAATCTTTGATCCCTTTACAGTGTCTTAGAGATTACAAGCATTGCATATGTTGCAGAATCATTACCATGAATACCTTGTACCTTCATACTTTACCTTTAAATCTTCTTGCATGTGTTTCAGAAACCTCCTTCCATTAGTTGTACATCCTTGAAAGATGAGCAGACTCATTACAAGAAGGGAATGGTGTGAAGACCAGACTAAATCGCTGGCCGCTCTGGCTGATACACTCTGCTGATAGTTGTAAGTACATTGCCATCTCCACCACCAAGTCACAGCTCATCAGGAGAACCTGTCAGCAGAATGTTGAAGTAGTATTGTCACTGCAGATGAGATTCCTTCAATCTAATTTAACTCCAGTAATTTCATGTGTATTTAGCGCTAGTATTTACATATTTGTGTTCTGTTACCATGGTTACTGAATTGAAGTACCCAAGTCTGAACTGTGGTGGTGCAGATATATTTTGAATTGTCAGCTCTCAAAACCATAGTCTCTCTCTCTCTCTCTCTCTCTCTCTCTCTCTCTCTCTCACTCACTCACTCACTCACTCACTCACTCACTCACTCTACATTCCTATCGATATGGTACTATTGTACTATATACATTTCTACAGTCTGCTTTGCTCCAAACGAGAATGATGAATTGCAAAATAACTCGAAATCTATTACTGTATATCGCTGTGTATAAGGCAAGTTTCTCATACCTAGAATTAGAGGGCTTTCAAGGGGGATCGTCTTATACACAGGGTTAAAGAGTTTTGATGTTTTTCCCCCCAACACAAAGACATTACCGTGAGCACGTAACACGGCAAAGTCGGCAAACTAATCACGTAATTACACTGTATGGTTATAAAAAGTGTTCATTTTATATCTGGACTTGCGTTTGTTATCTATTTAATTAATTTTATTCAAAATTTCATTCAAAATTGTTTGATTAATTTCGGCGAAACCTATGTGAAGTGATTGGAAGATCGCACAATTCACTGTTATTTACAGCAACCACGGTCAGATTACCGCTATTGATGCCTTGAAACAAACTTTAGTGGATAGAGAATGGATGTATATATATATCATAAATGCCATACATTGACTCGCTGAAAGTCATAGTGTTGTAGTATGACTAGTATATGTCAACAAAAAAATTTCGGATCACGGGAGCAGCGATGGTGACTGATCAAATTGTTCCATATGAAAATATATTCGGCAATAGTGATCAGCTGTACCAGAGTGCTATGCTTATGGTTATTAATTTATTTCAAATGTATACAGTGAAGCTGCAACTAAAATGATATTGGAATAAATTATTGCTGATAAAATAATAGTTTCTGATACAATTTATATGATCGCTGTATCAAAATTCATTTAAGTTATTGGGTAATTTGTAACCGAATCCCTGGTAGATTTCGAGAAATGTGTGCACTGCCGATTGTTGCTTCTGGCTTAGTTTATGAGACAATACACATGGTAATCTTAATCTCTGCATATAAAACAATGTTTTATCTCAAATTTCAAATTTGTATTGACCAAGTTTAATTGTTATCATCTGTTTGTTTCCCGGAATTCGCTGAAGGTATATGATGTAATTGTTTTTAGCGGAAGACAAACACGTTTTTATTGCAAATGTAGGGATTGTGTATGTGCTGGTGATGTGCTTCATTCCGATTCGCTTTATAGACAAGGTATGTAAATAATAATCTGATAGTAATAATAATCATGACAATCATTGCCCTTAATATCAATTATCATGAATATATATAGTACCTCCTCAAAGAAGCCTCACAGAGGGAATGACATTATTTCCCTGCATATCAATATCAGGGATAATATTGATTCAGGATAATAAACAAGCACAGATAGTTTTAACCTATAACTGTCAATTTATATTTTCCCTAATGATATCTTTGACAAATTAACCATTCTCAAGCCAGTGGGCATTTCTAATGTGTCGAAATATGTACATAGAGTTGCTTCCCTTTGACTATGGTAAACTCCAAGGGCAGTCGTCAAGCTGGCAGGGTCATGTTGAATGTTGTTTATATTGTAGATGTTAGTGGCATTTTATGTATGTTGATGTGCTTGCAACAGATATACACAATCGCTACTTTAAAGTGCATGTGACATTCAACCAAGCATGTCATGTGAGCACAGTTGTACACAACTCCCTGTGCAACTCTCTGTGCTCTACCCAACCTTATGTCCTTATGTAGTAGTAACTTTTGAAATGATAAATGTTACTTTTTGTTAATATCTAATATTGTGCCTCTGAGTATGTTCATTTAATCTATTATGTTACATAGATTCATACTAATTTATCAGTTTGAAGACTTTCACTGTTGATAACATGAGATTAGATCAGCTGGTAGGCACGTTGGCCACTTCATGCTGATATGGCAGCTTCATACTGTATTCAAGTCTAGAGACAGGCAGGGATTGACTCACTTGTGTAGGTTGAACCTTTGATGACTAATATCTCATTACCCTGAAGTTTGAGGATAGTGAAAAACAGTTGTTGCTGTAGGTTTGTTATCATGGTTAATATGATTGACAGTTACATATGACATTTCCTACAGTCCCAATATAGTTTGTACATTTATGCTTCAACTCTGTATTGGTTATGTGTGTTAGTCCAGAGAGATGTTTGGGCTTAAAGAATTACATCTATCTTGTGATAGAATCCAGCTACAGAGCAACAATTGTCATCAGATACGTACGTGAGAAAATACCTGTTTTAAATTTCTGGTATGTCTGGGATTATACAGATGGCAAATGTTCTGAAATATCAATAAGTGCAGTCGAACAATATGTTAGTGGACCTTAAAATGTTAAACAGGAGAAATGCCTTGAGGGATCACTGCCATCTAACTTGTTCTTAATAATAATGTCAGTGTGGATGTCATTTAAAAACTGTTATAAGCACAGGGGTTGAAAAATACCATTGCCCGACGCCCGTGCCAAGTAAGGTTTAGATATCGGGCGTGTAATATACGTTTTCTAGTAAGCCCTTGGACAAGAAGAGCATGCACACAAAATGAACTGGGTCAAGTTTCACGTGAATGTAATCATGTGATCATGTTACGATATTTGATTGGCTAATATTTTGCGAGTATCCCAGACTGGCAGTCTAATTTGCATACAGCTACACCAGTCAACCAATGGGATTCATACACTTCGATGTCAGGCAGGTCAACAACGAGAACCAGGCTTGTTTTATTGTTAAAACGTAGTAACACTTCCATATATGGCACATGCTTCTTGGAAAATGGAATAACAGACAGTTGACTACTTTACTTTGATTTTGTAATGCGAGGTAGAAACAATTTCCGACAATAGAAGCTTCGTTAGGCCTAGCTTTGATGAGATTTATTTTTTTGACACACCAATCACCGTCGAGGCTCACACGTTCTGGGTCGCGAAAACTTTGTTGACACAAAACAGTCAAACTACAATAAATCTGACTTTTAACGAGTCGAAGCATGGTATTTATAATATAGATCTATATATCTATTCCCCGTCAACTAAAGTTCGTTTTAAGGAGTCAATAGCGATAACTTGACCGTGGTTGCTGTAAATAACGACGAGTTGTGCAATCTACCGATCCTTTTACGCACAATTTCGCCAAAATTAATATAAACTATATTGAACGAAATTTTGAATAAAATGATTAAAATATGCCACTAACATAAGTGTACAACAAACATGTTTTTATAACCAGATAGTGTAATAATAGGATTATATTGAGGACTTCATTGCGGATTCGTGATCATGGTGATTGGTATTTCCGGTGTTGCGTGCTCACAGTGATCAGTTGGTAATATTTTTTTGCGATGGGGAAAAGACATCGTGTCAGTGACCTAAGTTTACTAAACGTGTATATAAATTTTGGGAGCCATGTGTTAAAGCCGGCAATATCTGAGTTAGGGCGATATTGAAGAGCGCAACAGCATTGCCAGTACCGCACATGTCAGATCATGTCACAGCTAGTGGTCTATATAAGTTTCTTCGGCAATGGGGACAAACTTAAAAGGAAGGCGGAGGGGAATTCTGAAAATTCAAATGAATCTATTTCGGCCAAGAATAAGAAGTATGACGAATGTTAACGAAAACGAACATTCATCGCTGAGTGGAAAGACACGGCCAAAGTCATGAACTGCACCACCTGTTCCAAGTCCCCAAGCATACAAGCTTGCAATCGAACTTTCATTGTTGGATGTTCAAATTTCAGAATTGAATATTGAAAAGTCACAATACATCAGATGTACACTAACATTTTACTGAATTTATTAGTTTGATTTTGGGCAAGTACATTTTAAAATAGGGCAAGTAAGAATGTTGGTCATACTTGTCCTTGGTCAAGTAACATTTTTCATACATTTTCAACCCCTGAAGCATGATTAAACTTGTGCTTACCATGAATCAGCATTCTCTGTGAGGTCATTTCAGTGTGTTGGAGCAGGTACCTATCTACACCGTGTGTATATATGAGACTAGGGAATGCCTATGCCAAATAACTGTTCACAGTTAAATCAGACCACCTTTTCACAGATCACTGGTAATTTTTCTACCCGTTTCACAGTCACAGATAATTATTGTGTAAATTAGTTCATATCTCATCATGTTCATACAGATAAGAAATGATCCATTCTTACCTTTCAATCTGATAGTGACTTAAACCATACCATTGTCCATTTTATGTTGTTGCATGTATAAAGTTGGACTGGACCTCATGTTATTGTAACATGTAAACTTGGTAACAACTTGTCGGACAGACCGTCTTGGGCACATCTTGATAGTTTTAGGCTGTTCCCCAAATTTACTACATAGTATTCCCAGTTTCGATAAATAAATGATAACAAATAATAACAATTCACAAGAAAAATAAACAGTTCACAGAAACGTTTTTATTTCTTGGCAAATTCACAATAACGGGACTGTTAAGAATAAAAGTATCACCAGCTAATTCTAAGTGTGAAATATCGAATCATGGCAAATAAAAAGAGCCAATAACGTATAACGAAATAGGAATTTCCTACCCGCATGTATCCGTGAAGGCTGTCTACTGCTGTAGTGGTGGTCCTATCAGTGTCTGACATCTGGGCTTCGCACTCCCCGGGATCAATGCTGAACAACTTTGACGTGCAATGGCTGTTGTATTACTTTCGCAAAGGACACATTCCTCATCAATTTGCTATCAAGTTTGAACTCAACATGGGTATGCTTAATTATGAAGTGTGTATTTCTATTAATCAGCTATATGCTGCTCTGAAAATATAGTACAGAAAATGTAGTTGATGTGACATTGTACACGGTGAAATGTACACCAATTCTGTACACGGGATAATGATTATGGCAGCTTCATACCGTATTCAAGTCTAGAGACAGGCAGGGATTGACTCAGTTGTGTAGTTGGAGCCTTTGCTGACTAATATTTCATTACCATGATGTTTGAGGACAGTGAAAAACAGTTGTTTCTGTAGGGAGTAGTAGATTGAGGACATTTAGTTTTGATTGAAAGTTAGAAATGACATTTCCTACAGTCTCAAAATAAATTGTACATTTATACTTCAACTGTATGGTTTACATGTGTTAATGCAAAGTGATGTTTGTGCTTAAAGAATAACTGAATACTTGTTACAAAGAAACAGTTTCAAAATTTACTGGAGGATAGACAATTGATTTAGAGTGTTGAACTTCTGTTATGATAAAAATCTCTGTTTTCTGGCAAAAGATGGTAGAATGATATTATTGTATTATTTCATGATTATTATATATCAATGTTCTAAAAATACTGATTATGCCAATAAGCCATGCTTGTGACAGGCATACCTCGGTTTCTCCAAAAATCAATCAAACAAAGAGATAATAAAAGTACAACAGCCAACATATAACAAGTGAAATTGTTGAGCACCAAATATAGTAGCCATGTGGTAAATCAAAACTGTTTTATGGAACAAAATAAATGTGAGGATTCTTTTAAATGATTCTGTTCTGTCAACAACATAGTGCAGGAAAGCCTAGTAGTGTGGTTCTCACTAAGTCACCCATGGACTGTGAGAGTTCTGCTACATGCTTAATCACCCACCTTAATCTTTTGATGAAGCCCATATCTTTCAATGACCCCTGCCTATTTCCACAAATTTTAGATGAAGCAATTATGGGAGTTTAGGCTGTTGAATTGTCGACTAGTGTCTGTAATGTTGGGACAGTGACCTTCTAACATGTAGCTAGTGATATTTGTTCTATTGACTCAGAACGAGGAGAATTTGTCATGTATTTGCCCGTATTTGGAATCCAGGACCTCGCTCCTGCTGTCTGATGGGTGTAGCAGGCTTTTTAAACACTTGTGCCAACTTGGTGTTGTGATGTTTCTACCCACTGAGTACGTTGTGCAAGCAAACTTGTCTTATCACCTCATGTTGTTACTGCATCTCAGATGTACTGTTTGCTCCTCAGGCCAAGAGGAGGATGCCTAGATTTACAGGCTTTCTGTCCACACCTGGAAATGTACACGAGGATGTTGCTCCTTTTATGTTGACTGACTGCATCTCGTACGTCAGCCTGACATTCAAATTGAATGGAGGTAAAATACTGGAAGGATGTAACCATGTTTTCTAGTTGCGAAATGATGGGAAAGATTCGTGGACTCTTGTCATTTTAATTAACGTGTCTGTTCCTAAATTAGAAACTGTGACTCAGCATGCTACAGTCTTGTTTTACGGTAGAATTTTAATCCCTTTGAATGAATGGAAACTGATATGCAAGGCGACATCCTCCTCATATGCCTTATTGCAAGGACAGATATTGTGTATGACTGGAGTGTTGAGTACATTGGCACTTGAACCATTGCTGAATGACATCATGTGCACTGTTATCAGCAAGCCTTGGTCACCAGCGTCCTACCTGCCTACCAGGTGTCTATCTGTCGGGGAATGATATAGTGGGAGACAGAACATAAAGCTGAAACCCTCTGCCACTACTTGCTCCTGTTTCCTGGTAACACCTTGCCCATGTAACCAAGATTGATGGCTTTAAAATATTGAATTCACCTTGTTAACCTTGTGCCTGAGGGAAATGAACCAAGCTGATTTGCAGTCTGTTTCATGCAATATGAACCCGATTTCAAGGATATAAAGGTTAAACTGGAAAAGTAATCTCGGTTGTAACTGAGCCTTGTCTATGGCAGCCCAGTCACAAATTGTCTGACTCACTTTGTGTCACAGAAATATGTTTTTCAAGGCAAGACAAACTCAACTGTAATAGGAGTAGTGTTGCATCTGGGATACAGGTTTATGCATATGACACAGTTTGTGAAAGGAAATGTGGTGTGATTTGTAAACAATATTTTCAGGATGGATATGTTGAATTATTGTGATTATCAGCCTGTTATTTGAGAGTGATGGAGATTGTGTGATAGTATCGTGCGACCATGACTCATCTATGACCATGCAACATTGTTTAGAAAATTGTCATTACCTACTTACAACAATGCTTGTCAGTATTTCATGTGTTGACAATGATATGTCATGTAGTCTATCCTGGTGTGGGCAAATGATAGGTGTTATGGCAGTGCAGCCATTCTGTCCTGGGCTTGAGGAATGCACAGATGATATTTCCCCTCCCAAAGCTAGGACAACGCTGTGTTAAAGGAAGCCACCCCTTGACAGGATCTTCCCTTGGCAAAGTGCTTCTGTGTGATTAGCAAGGAGTCTCAAGCCAAATTCTTCCACACAACATTTGGTTTAATCAAATCAGCCAAGATTCAACAGTCATCATGAGACAGGTTGACAGGGACATAAGGATGGATGTAATTTGTGACTCTGTCTATGGTGAGTAAATCAGTGTTGAATGTTAGCCATGTTACTCTTTGCCATGAAGTATTTATACAAGAAGGTGTTGAAATGTTGGCTCTCACAAGAGGGGAACATTTCACAGAGGTGTGTGGAATTGTATGGTACATGAAATTGATCAAGCTTTAGTATTAAAAACTTGATTTGATACAAACAACCACTTAAAATAACGAAACATGTAAATGAAGGATTTGTTAGTGTGTTTGTTATTTGAAGTAACAGTGTCAGCTGGTTTGCCGGTGTGTTCTTCATGTTGACTGTGCAACTCCGCCAGGCCTGTCTGTGTCTATAGTTAATATTTTGGTTGAAGATACAGATAAGAGTTTATCAACATTTATGGTAAAATAGGCTAAGGTACAGTGGTTCATATCCAACAAGCAAAGCAGTTCTGTCAGGTTTTCTTTAGCTTGTCAATAATGAATTTGAGTTGTGTGACAACATTGCTGCATGTTGGAAGGAGATAACAGACGTTTTTAAGGGCTGATGTTTTTATTCATTTGCTAACAAATTATACACTCACATCATCAGTGATCATGACATTTTGTAGAAAGTGGAATACTGTTAATCATACTTTTGTGAAGAAATATAGTCTCTCTATATGCTTCTTTGTAAAAGTCACATGCTCTGTGGAGTCACTGTGTTTGGAATAGATCCCCAGCACTATATATTGCTGGTGATGAAAGATGACCAAATTGTATTGGGTGGTCATACTCAGAGATCTAGCTGATTTCATGTCCTCGTACCCCAACGGAGCAGAATGTTGCTCATATCAGTGACTGGTTTGCCTGGCCAAGACTTGATTTATAGAAATCCTTGATGTAGCTGGAATATTGTGAAACAATAAACAAAGTGACCCACCCTGTCCTCCATGATCAACTGTATTATATCTCCATTCTATATAATTATACATGCCCTGGACTCACTTGGCTCCATAACTTCACTTATGAAATGATGACTCCATCTCTCCGATCAGCAACTTCTCACAATGTTTTCACTCATGGACAGTGATGAGTGTAATTTCATTGGGTGGCTGTTCTTAGCACTGCATATTTCTTATCTGATTCAACGCTGTTATGGTGAACAAGTCCAAGTACATATACGTTTTTATTCCATCATTAACATTAAACTAAGGATTTTTTAACAAATGGCTTAGAAAAGGTTATTACTGGTCAGCATACATCCTTTTTGTTGGGCAATTATTAGAAAAAAATTACCATTGCTAACCAGATGATGATTTGTAAGTTGATAAAATAAGGGTTAGACCCACAAACTTCAGAAGCTGCAGGCCCTGACTAAACTCTTCAGGCCCTCATGTAAAAACCTGCAGCTTCTTGTGACAAATAAATTCAACATCTAAATTTACAGCAGGCCATAAGGACCCATACAAATTTGAAACTATGTCCTCACACAAGATCGACCTGCCACGGGCCTATGGGCAGGCGCTTATTGCAAACACTGGTCAAACATGAACCTCTTGCCTTGACAATATCATCAGATGTTGGATAGAGACAGAGACTGTCCTCTCACACTGATATATATTACATGTAATTAGATGTGATTAAGTTGCAAGTGTTTCCATGGAAGAGGAATGTGTCCTTAAGTTGAGATGCTAGTGTGGACAATCTGTAGAGACAACCTCAACTCTGTGTACTTCTCCTGCAATTGATGACATATTGACTCATGCAGGGAGTTGGATGTACCCCTCAAATATGCGATCATGTTATCTCTTGTCCTTTGACCTTTGAAAGATATTGAAATGACTTCAAATTAATATCTTCTTTATGTTGTTGTAAGAGTCTAAATGTCACTGACCAGTTAATTTGACTTTTATGCAAATAGTGTCAATTTGAAAGCTGGAATGTACTTAACCTGTCAGTACTGACAGAGGACTAAAGTGCTAACTGAGAGTGGATTTGAAATCGTCAGTCATGAGATTGGGTATTTATAGCAAACAATGCCCTGCAATTGGGATAGAACTAGTCAAACTTCAGATTGGGAGGCTGATGACCAGTGATAACAGATGGTGTAGCATTTTCTGTGCAATTACAGCCACTAGCAGGGAGGAAATACACAAACATGTTGAGCCACATTTTGTTTTAAATAAGGGGGCATGGGTGGCCCAGTCGTTTAAGACACTGGTGATTCCCTGTGCAAAGTTGCGTCCCTTGGGCACGCCAGAAAACTATGATTGTGAGTTCGAATCCTGGTTCGCCCCGATTATGTTTCTAGGTTTGTCAGCACCATACCCATGCTTGTGGGTTTCACCGAAGTGGTAAACGTCTGAGACCTGCATCACTTTGGGCTTTCCTCCCACATTAAGCTGACACGCTGTGATATAACGGGAATACTCTGAAAAGCGGTGTTAAACCCAACTCACTCATTCACTCTCTGCTTTAGATATGCAATTTAGCCAAAAGTTGCATGTTGCTTTCTGATTAGTCAGTCTCACAGTCCCTGAACCACATTATTTTCCCTTCAGCCCAGCCCTGTCAGTAATTATAAAATCTTCCATCTTTTTGGGGATCCTTTTCAATTAAATGGAGTTATTAGTTTCTTTCAGAATTATATGTTTTCAGAGACTAAGCGTAAGTCTATTTTCTGATATATGACAAAGTTTCTTGGTAATGTTTGTACACAGATAACTTATGAATGGTACATTTACACTGTGCATAGATACTGAATTAGATCTGTTTATGAGAAGTGGGATGCCTGTGTCCAATATCCGGTGTAGAAGATATTTCATGTTCATATCAGGCATAGGGTACTTGTCATGTATATTACAGCCTTAGATACCACCACTGGTCATATAGCAGCAGCTGTCTAAACAGCCTTGATAACTGGCAGTAGTGGGTATAGGGCTTCCCATTACAACCTATAGCTGTCACAGCTTGTTGTAAATCACCAGATCTATATATAAGACACACTTTTTGCACAACATAAATGTATGTGAGTCATTTGGTATGATGAAAATATCCACAGACATCCTGTTAGACTAAATGAGGCAATGAATATTTTTTCTGGAATATTTTATACTGAAATATTTAGTTAAAGAAATAGTTAAGAGAATAGCAAGCCACTTTTGACAGAGTTTATGTATATTTCTGTCATTGAAGTGCCAAGTCCATCGGAGGTATGTGGTTGCCTCCAAGGGACATACATACCGTGACAATCACCTGCCTCTATGCCATATTGAAGTGTGATGTGTAGCGAATAACATGGGTTAATCAAGCCTGAAGCATCATTCATGTATTTCTATGACCCGAAACAAACAGTCTCTTTGCCGATCATACCTACACTTTGTCCGTCTCTACACTACACAGGGTTGACTTAATCTGTTTGACTTACATTTTTAAAATCATCAGTTGCACTGTCACTTCAATCTGTTGTAGCCTCTGAAATAGCTCTATGTCCCTTTTGTGAAATGTCAACATGTTCAAAGTTGTTTTCACGAGATTTATGTTCAAATTTATTAAAGACCTTCAACAGGTTGTTGAGGCCGATCGTAAACCCATAGTCAATTTGAACATGTATGAAATCTCTAACTCAACAATACGTTTTGTAATTGTTATATTTTTGCTGGCTAGAAATTCCGGAATGTGATGCAATATCCTACTGTAGAATGTTGCATTAGCTGACTGCTTCATGGTTGAAATGGACACGAGTTCTTACTTCACCTGGCTCATTATAAAAACACATGAGTGTCTGGGTTTTCCTAGTGCCGCTGTTACTGTGGGCCTCAGTTAAAAGCGGCGTTAAACCCAACTCACTCACTGTGGGCCTCCCAGCAGTACACACATAGCTTATCTCATGCAATATACCAGTCGATGTATGTCCAATTTCATTTTCACAGAGGTGTCCAAGTACTTTATAATGACAAGCCAAGTACATTACTAGGATAGGTGTATGTATTCCTAACAAGAGATCCGTTAGGCCAGTGTTCCTGTGTTAGAGAGTTTGAAATAGACAAGCACTTGTTTTGTGTTGGCCTAAAATAGATATATACAGCAGAGCTTCATAGATGTTCATTCATTCTAAACAGCTGGTTTCTGTTGCATTAAGACTGCTGTGATAAGCTGTTTATGATAAACTGGATTAGCGTTCACCTCAAGGAAAGGGCTGCTTGATAGCAAGTGTTGCTCAGGTGTTTGCTGGGACAATGTGTACTAGCCAGGAAAGAAAAGGAGAGAGAAAAAAAAACCCTTGGGATAAACTGGCCAAGCCTTTGTGTACAAAGGCAATGAAAGACGGGACGTAAATGACTTGTGTTTGCAGATTCTTGACCCTTCTGTGACCAGGAATTTCTGATAAGAGACTACACTAACTTTACAGTGGATCTCAGCCAGGGATTACTGTGTGTAGTTGAGACATGTTGGGTGTAGCCACTTCTTGATCATGTGCTGCTTATTTCATGAAATGGGGCACTTTGGAGTAACTTATTGCTGGTTGATAGGTGTGTGCTGATATTAATTTATAGATGGAATTTACGTAATCTCTGTTGGGACTGCGGCCTCTTCAAGACTGACATCTCAAACACACGTTGAATCGGTTTGTGTTGAAGTTGCTATTTAACATAGACTTCACCTATATTTGACTGTTTGATTTGGCCAGTGTTGCTGCACATGTACAAAGATTGAGGGTAATCTCTATGATGTGCTGTCTCTGTGTATACCAGCAGTAGATTCTCCAGGATTTGCACACTGTCATGTACATATGAAGTCCCAGTTGTGAAGTTATGGCCAGAAATTTAGCTGCCTCATATGACTGTTCACATGCTGTTTACTTAAGTGTGCTAGTTTTGTCACTTTTTGCTATGGCTTGCTCCAGTCAGGATGCATGTGGCTTGGTGTACAATTAGGATTGCTGATAATATCTGAAGCCCTTGTAACTCTTACAGGCTGAGATTTTGGGGGAGATTATGTGCTGCTCAAGGGAAAATATAACAGTGGACCTTTATAATTAGCAGAGGATCGCAACGGTCCGTGCTGGACAGTCATCTTTTGCAATTTCAATTTCTTTTTTTCTGAGTAAAAACTATATATCTTCTTGAGGATGGCAACAGGCTATGAGAAGAAGGAAAAAATGACCAGAATTGTCGTCATGATGATCACACTTAATCAACCTGTTTGCTCAAGTACAGATATTTTTTTGCTGTAAGATTCGCAGTATACTGGATTTCAAGTTTCAATGTGTCTGTGTTAGTGATCATCTGTCCTGGTGTACACCTGTGGTATTCCCTGTAGCTAAGTGTGTGACTGTGACAGACATGGAGCACCTCTGTTTGTACCTGCTGGACCTGGTGGTGATGGCTGCACTAGCTGGGGTAAGTGTCAGGAGCACACAGTAGCAGCTTGTGCCACCTTGTTATTTCTGGTATAAGCACAATAAGCATGTACTCACAATATTTGCCAAACATATCGTCATGGTTATTCAATAATTATGAAAATATAATAAAAAGATAGAATCCTTGAACAGACATATTCTGGATTCTGAATTAGATGTAAGAGATATATTTCAAAGTTTCCTTCTGCATGTTCTGTGTGGAATGTTCCTGTTAAAGAACATGACAGGTATGGTAGGTTTAGATGACTTTCAAATGATATTGATATTGTGAATAGAATGAGGCATTCTAAAATATATTTTCCCCATTTGTTCTTCTATTTCAATAAGAATGTAATTATGTTAATAGTCAATTAGCAGTTTTCAAAGACAAACTAGGAATTCAAAAGAAATTACAGCATGGGACATCGAAGATGGTATTATTCACAAACACATGTGAACTTGTCATCGGCTGTCACACATGGATGTTCACTCTGGGCTGTAATGTGGCCCTCAGTAGGTGGGTGGGTGTGTGCGATCTGTCAGATCTATCACCATGTTGCATGTTACCAGGTAATCTGCATGTACCTGCAGTCTATTGGCTGTGTAACATAGCATAAGCAATTGATTCATCGTGGGTGTAAGGCTGCTGCATGCTGCATGCTGATGATTTATACCTGTGTGTCACACATAGGTAAGGGTATCTCACTCGCAGTATAATTGATTAACTGCATTGTTCTATCTTTTGCTGGATCAGCATATTCCTCTTGTATATGTCATTACACCTGTATCCAACAGTTCCTCAGCTTTACACTAAACTTTCCAAATCCAAATCCAAATGTGTAGGTAAGTGCTTGGTATATGACATGAATTGAGAGGAGTTCGGACCAACTTACGTAATGTTTTATTATCAGAATAGGTATGTTGTACCTATTGAACATGTCATTTAAAACTGAACTGTAGCTTATTAAAGAAATAAATAACGTGTGGGCGTTGTTTATCGTACAATAATTTTTTAATTTGAACTTTACATGATATAGGGCTTTTCCACTGGACGAGAGGTCAGTCACATGACCGCGAAATTAACGTTGATAAGTGTATGAACGACACAATTTGACGTTCATACTTTTTTCACGAGCCTTTGTTCTTGAAATGACAAGAACACTGATGGACTACTTCCACATTCCTGGGGAAACCCCTGGGAATTCCCCACTTCGTATACATACAGGAGTATTCTTTCTGATCATTTCGACCCTTTAATCTTGAACTCAGCGTTTTAGTATACATTGAGAAACGTCAGAGTTTGATCGTTCACGTATATCCTCGCTATGACCCATCCAAGTGAAAACGAAGAAATGCGCATCCGATCTATCGTAGTATCAACTCAACGCAAGCTCCGACGTTCATACAGTTTGTCCCTCACTCTATGAAGATTCATCATACTCCAATGAACTCACACCAAGTGTCTGTCAATTCTTAAATAAACACTGCAGGGAGAATAAACCATGAACCATAATAAACCTCCAGTGTCGTTATCCTTTTGTTCTCCAGTTGGGTTAAATCTCATAAACAGGGATGTTATAATATTCCCAGGATTATGTCTAATCCCCGTATTTCATATAACATGCCAGGGACTTTATTAACACAACTTCCGTTTAGATTGTAAAGTATGAATGTTTCTTGCTAGAAATTTGTTTTGCATTTGAACACAATGTGATGAAATGTAAAATCAAATGTCAAATGTTTTCTTTATATTCCCGAGGATCGAACACGCAACCTTCGTTTTTGTAGCCCAATGAGTGTACTACTAGGCTACAGGGGCGCTGATAAATCACAATGCTTTTAAGAATGTCTTACTCACGTTTCCTAAGGTTCATGGAAAGTATGTTTGAAACATAAGTATGTTGATAAATGTTGTTTTAAGTTTCTTTTTTCAGTTTATAAGTAAGATGAAACACTTCCCCTCATGGTTTTATTATATCTAAAACCCTTTTCCTTGGGCTAAGACCTTGGGGCAGACACCCCTTGGTTTTATTCCAGGGATGCAGGTTTTTAATATCATAAAAACCCTCGGACTTGCTTTATCCTACACATAAACAACGACCATGAGTCGTTTATTTCTTATATGAGATAGCAACATTTTTTAAGTTACAAAATCCCTGAGGATGTTAGTAAAATTTACATTAGCTTTGAAAGTATTTACCCATATTCATATAATGAAGACTCCCTGAATACAATCCAAGGGCGGCAATGTCGGACAAGCCCATTTTATGAACAGGGGTTTATGTATGTTTTTCTTGAAAATTCTCACACTTCTCACGGCGATTACCTTTCCCTCGTCTTGCCTGTACATATAAACATTCTTATGGCTACATGCATTGCCATATACCAGTACTAGAGTGTAGCTTATATCAGTTGTATATGGATTTAATAACTGACGTCAACTGACATTAATGTCAATATATATTATTATACAGAGACCGAAATCTATTCTGTAATCTTATTACTGTCAGGAGAGTAAATTTGTTATGATTCTATGTAGCTGTGATGTGAGACAGTGATTACTTCCATACATCCTTCCCACTTCTCCTAGTCCTGTTGGTTCCACCCAAGTGTGCAGGCCTTGGTTGGTCCTGTTAGGCAGTAGCAGCTACAGTGGCTGCTTGAGAAGGAAGCAGTGGATGGATTTGCCTGCAGGAAAGTGGGTCGTACTTTAGTGGCATCAATTCCCAGCTTGTGACAAGAATGTTATAGGATTGTTCTGGGGCTGGTCATTCTTCCATCATGTCTGCCAGGAGAAGTGCTAAAGTAGGTGTGGTGGAGACGACCAGGAGGACCCCTAAAGTAAGTGGACAGGGTGGAAGGGGCCGACGGGGTGGGGAGAAGAGGGTACATGGCTGTGTCATAGGCATTCACATGCTCAGTGGCATCATGTGCCGTGGATTTGAAACTGTCCATATGTATATAGCGTACATTGTAATGTGTATCCTGGAGTCTGGAGTGTTGGTTGAACTATTTGTTTCAAACATCATTGAGAGAGTTTGTCACTTGTTTGTGGCATTGTTTCTTATATGTTGTATATAAATTTAGTTTCTGAGTGGTAGTGAAGGTTTATGATGTGTAAGGGTGCACTTAGTGACACTGTGGGACAATTGAGCTGAAACGTGGGCAGGGAAACCTGGTGCGGGGAAGCAAACAGAGTTTTATTTGTGTGTTTAGTAATGTGTAGATGAAAAAACTTCCCCAGTTAAACTAAGTACTTTCCTGCCTTGTTTCCAAGTTCTGATAAACTGTCTGTACATGGTTTAGTTCCTAAAGGTGTCAGTCTGTAGACTATTGCTATGTCACTGGTAATGATTGTGAGTCATAACTGTTTCAAGCCAATACTCCCAACATTATTCTCTACTGGTCATGGTCTGATGTTTGATGTGATGATTATACTCAAGTGTTGGAGTGACATTTTCAGTAGGCTCCCCACTGACTTCATGCTTGTTTCCTGTGTAATTGTAATAATTGTAAGACTGTATGTTTCATCAATAATGTTTTTAGCTCATCCTCACTGAAAGTCTGTTTGCCCAGTGTGTGTTGTAAATGTTATCTCTTCAGAAACCACTGGACCAATGAAACTGAAACGTCACATGCTAGTTCCTACCAATGACACCCCAAGAGGTTCAAATCCAATTTTCTGCCATGGCAGCCATATTGTTAAAACCTTTTTATGGCCATTACTCAGACATATTTTCAAAAATGGAATGAAAATTGGTATTTGTGTAGTTCGTTGTGGGGCTCATTTTTTTGTAATATTTTACATTTTGAACTTGTCTTGACTTTTTCAGTTTGACCACCTGCCTTGCCAAATGCATTTCCACTCATTTCTTCTTTTCTAAAATTGACAGACTGACAAAGCTGACTTGGGCACTTATGTTTCTCTGTACATATTTCATAATACTTTACACATAATGATACTTATCTCACAATACTTTACACATAATGATACTTATCTCACAATACTTTACACATAATGATACTTATCTCACAATACTTTACACATAATGATACTTATCTCACAATACTTTACACATAATGATACTTATCTCACAATACTTTACACATAATGATACTTATCTCACAATACTTTACACATAATGATACTTATCTCACAATACTTTACACATAATGATACTTATCTCATTATACTTTACACATAATAATACTTACCGCCTGATACTTTACAGTTACACATGCATGTAATACATACCTCACAATACTTTACACATAATGATACTTACCGCCTGATACTTTACACATAATGATACTTACCTCATGATACTTTATAAGCCCCATATTTATCTCATGATACTTTATGTATCTTGGTACTTACCACACCATACTTTACACATCTTCATACGTATCTCACAATGCTTTATGTATAACAGACCGCCTCCGTGGTCTAATGGTAGAGCGTCCGCCCGGAGAGCGGAAGGGCCAGGGTTCGATCTCCTGCCGCGTCATACAAAAAGACGTTAAAAGATGGTACTTGTTGTTGCCCTGTCTGGCGCTTGGCATTAAGGGGCTAAAACAAGGACTGGTCGGCTTGGAGTCAGTATACTGTGTCTGAGTGGGGTATTCATGTTAAACTGCGGCATGGTATCTCAGTGTGCTAGCACAATAAACTCGGCATCAGTCCGGACTAGTACAAGAAGCCACACACACACACATATACGTGCATGCATGTCGCTATAAAAGTGACATGACGTTAAATCCCATTTCAACACCTTATGTATAACAATTCAAGTTATCTTTGTGTGCATCTGTTTAGTTACATCCTTATGGGATCAGGTGGTCAGACTTACAAACAAACAAGCAAACAAACAAACAGACACACATCCTTATGGATGACAAACATAATCTCTATTGATGCATACTGCTTACATATGTCCAGTGTAGGAGGGTGTCTCATTCCCACATATATATTGATTCATTAAACACCAACCCTTCACTGATGAAGATATGTTACAATGTAAGAAATTGTTATTAAAAAAGAAACGCTCTATAGAAAAACTAAACTAGATTCTTATGCATTTTACAATTTTGTTAGCTTACCAAGACCAAAGGACTTGTGAATGAATCTCAAAATCTGCTTGTCATGCATGCACTGTTTACCATTTTGCAATGTGTTTCTCTAGATTACTAGCCTGCTAGCCTTGGTCAGTTTGTGTACTGGTGAAGGTATCATCCTTAGACATTGTCCATATGAGTGCTTGTAAACATGCCTGTTCTTTAATTGTGAATTACAGCTGATTATTTGCCAAGACCTACTTCTGAATATGTGACCCTTGGAGACCTTGTACAGTTTCTGTAATGCTCATTAGCATGATTAGATTGGTATTAAAACAAACCACCTTATACAGCAAATTAGTGAAAGTGTCATGATTTTTCAAAACAATAACACTTTTTTCCACTTTATGGCTAATCATATCATTGATTGCAAACATGTTCAAACTAAGTGAACTGTCAAATGTGAACTTACATGTACCAGGTGAGTGACAGAGCTGATCTCTATTTGGATATAAATGGATGCATGTGTTTGTTAATATGTTTGTATATCCAGTAATGAACTGTTATGATTGTAAGTTTATACCTGTTTTCTGTGACAGAAATGTCTGCCAGGTGAGTGTGAAACGTATTGTACATTGTAGTGAGAGTGAGCAGGAGTGATTCCTGCTGACATCAAAGCTGGGCTTGACTTGTGTAGCTGCTTCCCTAACAATAGCACTGTCAGGCACTGCCCTCCAGCTTTGAAAAGTAAACTCATACACACCCCTGAAATAATGATAATGTAGTGTGGATATGAGTCAGCTGTCGACTATTTACATCTGACATTAACGTCCATGATTGGGGATATTTACATGCAGGCCCCAGTAATATGATACACAGCCAAGTGAAATTTACGCATTGTACCCAAATGAAAATAACATGGCAGGGAAAGTGAGTCATGTATTTATGAAAATTAATAAAGTGATACTGGCTTCTCCAAGCTGCTTAGTTCTTGCTTAGAAAAGTTACAACTTATGGATAATAACTTCTGGTTTATTGCATAAAACAAAGATTCAATGTAGATTCTTACACAGTTATCAAGCTGGATCGTTCACTCCAGCTTGATGACGGTAAGAATCTACATTGAAACTTTGCTATATGAAATGAACCAGAAGTTGTTATCCTTAAAGTTGTACGTTTTCTTATATACTCACCAACTTCCAGAATGCCAATCGAACAGTTAGTAAGTTCTTACTATTTGGTGTCTTTCAGAAGATGTGACATTAATATACTTACTTAATATTAGATGTACAGTGATATATTGACAGCTGACAAGCTGCTAGATAGATTGATCATGCTGACTTTTTTTCATATTCATCATCAAGTGAAGCATTTTCTTTTAGTACTTACAGATATATTAAAAGATGGCATTTTTTCTTTCTCTATAGTTTATTATTCATGTTGTAAATGATCTTGTTTTCTTAGTAGATTCTCTGTTTGTGATAGTTTTTATGAGATACTTTACTCTTGTAATCATTAAGACCATGACATAGTACAGACTATTTTCTGTACATTTTCACTTGAAGACAGCTCATGTCAACATGTTGTTTTTTGTGAATTTTGGCAGAGAATATTTTGATGAGTAAGAATGTGTACATGGTATAATATTACCATGATTATCTTGTTGCCATAATCACTGAATCTGTGAATGTGACAGGTGAATGTCAGTGCTTAAGTACCATTTTGTATAAATCTCTATTTTCAGTATGTATGATTACTCAAATCGTAATATGTTCCTGCTTGTTATGACATATGTAAATGACAAAACCTTATTTCCTCTCTTGTTCTATCTTGCAGGTTGTCCACACCAGCAGGATGAAGAAGCAGGAGAAGAACAGCACTGCAGCCAAAGCAGGCTCTGCTTCTAGCTCAGCTCCCTCCACCACCACAGCAGGACAGATGGGGATGAAGCAGTCCAAGTCCGACTCCACCTCACTCAGTTCCAAGAGTCAGGGAAAGGGGTCATCAAATCTAGCAGGCAAGTCGTATCTGAGCAAGAGCCATGAGAACCTCAGCAGCACAAAAAAGAAAATGACGCTACCTCCTGAAACTAGTAAACCCAAGCCAGCATCTGGAACCTCAAAGCCAGACTCTGCAAGGTCTTCTACAGAAAGAAACAAGGAAAATCTAGCCCTGAAAGAGAAGGAAAAAAATTCAAACTTTGCCAAACCAAAGGCAGGCAAAGCCCCGGTGGCTGCTGGAACTATACGCAAAGCGTCAAGCACACAGTCAATAGACAAAACATCCAGTGGAACATCAAGTCAGAAACCACAGCCTGTTAGTAATAAGTCACAGGCCATGAAACGTGCTCAAAGTACTCAGAATGTTAGTAAAGACAAACTGTTGAATAGGAAAAGGACATCTGCTCCTGCAGATGTTATGGCATATAATGCAGAACTGTTAGCTAATTTTGAGAAGGAGAAAAAAAATCTTGAAGCTAGGATATCAGAACTTACTAAACTTACAGAAAGCCGTAAAGCTGAGATTGAGAAATTTAAGTATGAGGTGAAGGCACTGAAGGAACTAATTCCTTCACAGGATGTGAGAGACGAGTTAGAGATGCTTCGAAATCAGAACAAGCATCTGCAAGATCGACTGAAAGAGCTTGGTATTCCTGTTGAACAGATCACAGACACAGAAAAGTTGTTACTCAAACAGACATTTGGTTCCAATAAATCTGTGGGTGGGTCTGAGTGTAACCTGCCAACTAGTGTAAGCTGTGATAGTTTGTCAACTGATGGTGCTAAGGCAGCTGCTCTGCCTGGTCATGTGGGAACACTGGAGAGATCAGCTTCTATGACTGCTTCAGAGCCAGGCTTCTCCTTGGCTGATCTATGTGGAACACCAGACCATCCCTCTGTTCTGTCTCTAGATCCATTGAACTGGGACAAACAGAGCAACAAGAGTCGGGACAGTGATGGGCTAAGTGAAATATCAGTCCAGTGCTTGACAGAACGGATTCTTCGCATGGAAGAAACCAACTACTGCACTACTGAAGAACTTCAAGCAACACTGCAGGAGCTGGGAGACCTGCAGGATGCAGTCAATGAGCTGACAGAGGAGAACGAGAGACTGACTGATGAGAAATCTGTTCTACTTGAATCCCTGTGTACCCAGACAGAAAAGCTGGAGACATCAAGGCATCAGGTAGAACAGCTTAAGAGTCTTCTGATTAGTGGCAGCCTGCCTGAGAAGTCAAGTAGAGAAGCTCATTTAGTGGATTTGTTGAAAAGTGCTCAAGAAGAAAGAGAGGAATTGCTGCGAAAACAAAATGAGATTGCAAATGCAATGCATTCAATGAGGTCAGAATATCGAGAAAACCTGGATGCAATTGATGCCATGCGTGACAAGATTCAACTGGGGGAAGATAAGATCAGCAGCTTGAATGCTGAGCGGGAGGCACAGGAACAGAGAATGATGGAGATAAAGAGTCAAGGAAAAAATGATGAGATTGAGATTCATCGACTCAAGACACTTCTTGAAAATGAGAAATCAAAAGTTCAAGAACTAGAACAGTTCAGGAAAGTAGTAGATAAATCTGACATGGAAGCTTTGTTAGATAATGCAAGACAGGAGAAAGACCGTGCTGAAGAGAGGCTTGCCAATATTCAGAAATCACTAGATCACAGTCGTTGTGAAGTGATGAAACTGAAGGAAATAATGTCCACTCGTGATGAAGAGATCAAAGTGGCCAAGAATAATGCTAAGACTCACATAAATGATCTTGACTATAAGTTGACAAAAATGGAAAAGGAAAGGACAGACATGCAGCAGCAGATGGAGGTGCTACGAGAACACATTGATACTCTGGAACAAGATTGTGAAAGATATCTTGAGGAACAGAAGACCTTCACTGAGAAGATCCAGGAACTCCAGGATGAGCTAAAGAAGACCCATGACACCAAGAGCGTGGCAGAAGCTCAGCTGTATGAAATCAGGAGCAGACATGAGGAGGAATCAGAGGAGTGGAAGCAGTTTCAGAAGGATCTACAGGTCGCTGTTGTCATTGCTAATGATTTCCGTACCGAGACTCAGGAAGGGATGGAGAAAGTAGTAACTGAAAATGCCACTTTACGTGAAAAATGTAAACATCTTGAAGCAGAGGTACGACGACTGAGATCTGATTTGGATGCTTTCCGTGCTCACAAAACATTAGAGGAGGAACCTAATACTCCTTTCTCAAAATCCATTTTCACTTCTGCTGAGCTGAAAGGGAAGATGCTGTGTACTGTGGATAGAGAACTTACAGCCCTGAGAGAAGGAAAAAAACTTGATCCACGCAGTCAGAATTTGTCTGTGAAAAGTTTAATCCAGTCCATTGAAGATCAAGTGAAGAGTGGTTGCTCTTCCATTCACTCCAGCCTTAATGGCTCCAGAAGGAACTCTAATTCAACAGATGATTCATTTAGTGCTATCCAGGAACTGTTGAAGTCTCCCACCTCGCCACAGGCTGAGACACCACTACAGAGTCCACAAGGAGAGTTCCCAATAAGGTCTGTCTTTCGGAAGGGAAGCGAAAAATCATCTTCTCACCAGAGACTTTCTGCCTCTGGATTAAATTACATAGACAAGAGTCCTGGGGATGCACCCAAAACACCACCTGCATTTGGACGTCCAGAGGGAGAGTTCACAAAGGTGTCACCAGCTATTTCCTCCATTCTACAAAACAGGGGACCACCTCGTAGAAACAGTGGAGCCAAGTGAGTATAGGGCTTTAATTGATGTTCAATCTGTTATGTGGCCATTTACTGGGTAAACAAAAATGGAAGCTACCATTGTTGTATATACATGAAACAGATACCAATTACAATATCCATGACTTGTTCAATATTTAACGTTAAAGACAGTGCCCATATTTAATTAATATCTATGTATATAAATGCAAGAAAGGACATAATGGATGTGAATATTTGTTGACTAAACAAAGTAGATTTAGAAATCTTAATATGTTTATCTATTTTCCATATATAAAGAAAATTAGTTAAGTACGTCTTGAAATTGTCTTCTTTTTTGTCTGCATAATAATGAAATCTCCAAAAATCTGTTTGTTTGTTCTGGGGATCTTGCAATTCCTGAACTCTCTGCACTATTCACTTGTCAAAGTGTCCAACAAGTTTGCGCTAAGGGTATGTGTTTGCGCTAAGGGCTGAGGAGGGGGGGACACAGCTGTGATCCAGTCACATGGAGGTTACTCCCGATATTGAACTGTTCACACAAGTTCTTATCTATTAGATGTTATTGATAACTGATAATTCAGTGATGTGACATGCAATATATTGTGCGCTGCCTGATACTTGAGCATGTTAATTCAGATAGGATTTCATCAAAAATCAAGGTTCTTGTCATTTTACAATTTGGTCAGGGTATACTGTTGAATGTTTTTGTTAGGTTAAGTCATATGTCAAACATATGAAACAGGAATATTAGGTTAAACATTTTTAATTATAATATTTTTTGTCTGCTGAATTTTCCATGATCAAGCACAAACGTTAACGTAAAAACCTGTTAATCTTTTAGTCAGTGTACATTGTGTATGTTAGTCCTTCATCATGACTAAGGAATATGAATGAATTTTTTTAAACCAAAATCAATCTTAAAAGTTGTTTGTTTGTTTAATGCCGCACTCAGCAATATTCCACCTATATGATGGCGATCTGTTAATAATCGAATCTGGATCAGACAATCATTGGGATATGATGACATGCATCAACCAAGTCAGTGAGCCTGACCACCTGATCCCATTAGTCATCTCTTACGACAATCATGGGTTGCTGAAGACAAATTCTAAAAAAATAAATCTTCAAAGCAAATCAGCGTCAGGAAAAATAAAACGACGAGAAATATATGTGTAACATATTACAGACTATATGTTAGTCATGGTGTATGTATGCAATCATAGTAAGTTTCCTTACTTGAAATGTCTGATCTACATTAGCATGATTAGTACTGAGAGTGTAAATATCTGGTGATACAGTATTGTATTATGATACGAGACCCACGATACAATACATCGATTTAAAACCCCTGTATTGTGATACATTCCACATGTGAATAATAAGAAACTGTTCAACCAATATACATATTCTCTTGTATTTCCCGGATTTGCTATAAATTGCATAACACTCTTAGTGCCCTCTAGCCTATATGTTTCTGCCCTACAATATCCAATCTTTGATCTCTGAAAGTTAAAAACAAATGATTCAGGGATTCACCTGCAAAAAGAAAAAAATAATCAACCTATAATATAAGAGTACTGTATCGGGTTACAAATTGTATCACACCCATAGTTTTGGGATACTATTGTATTGCAACCCCTACGTTTCATTACACCTTTAGTCTACATGCTTTGAAAGAATTATATTGTGCAAGTATCTGGTCACAGCTGTTGGCAGTAGCTGGGAGCTGCTTGTCAATATCGACAAGTTAGGTGTGATGTGACAATGTTGGGACTGTGTGTAGCAGGCTTGTTACAACGTGCTCCATGGTGGTAGATGTGTCACATGCCTCGACCTTCCCAGTACACAGTACACACATAACATAATGCTATCAGCAGAGTCCAATAGCAGTTTACCATGTTCACAGGCAGGATAAAACCAGACAAATGAGCATGGGTCATTTAGGTCATGTTCAACTATCCCTTCTATTCAACTATTAAAGTACTAGGTTTAAATTAAATGAATTTAGTTATGATTTTTCACTTACTTCTGCTGCTTAAGTCATCGCAGACTAGTGGTCTAGTGGCTTCTTAACCCAGCATTATTTCAGTTTTCCTAACATTTTATGATAACTACTTAGGCAATAAGCATTGATCGTTACTTTTGAACATTTGAAACTCCCAATACATGTAATTGCAAATCCAATACCTATGATAACCATGGTTAATCTGGATTCAAGCTACCTGTTTATTATGGTATAATGCTAGGAGTATTATTTAAATGGGTTCATTCCTAAGAAATAAATTCAGCTTGATAAAAAACAATTGGTTGCAAGTCCAAGCAAATTGCCACCCTATTGGTATATATTGACTTCCAGTTGCAAGATTCTATCCCCCTATCAGCAATAGAAACTAATAGCAGTCTTAGTCCACTTGTCCTTATAATGATAACATATAGCAAAACCTTTAAAAAGGGCAAATTTCTAGTCCTTGTGATACCTTAACTATTGGGCAGTTTGCCAAGGACTATAGGACCTGTGCGTGTCTCCCACTCCCTATGATGTGACTTGTGGTAGTGTATGTAGAATGTTGCACTGCTGGGACCACTAACACCATCTTCATTGGCTAGGAAATGTTCACTGGAAGCCACTGTGAAGTCATTGCTTTTCACCAATCTCAGGCACTAAAAGTTTTAACTACTGTTTTGATATTTTGTGCTACTGGTAATTCTCTCTTGTTTAGGTGGCCAACTTTTACTACAGTCAGCCTCAAGCTTTACTTAACTTGCTGGATACATTTAACGTGTATCGGGAACTATAGTGCTAGCCATTTTGAAAATGTCATAACAACAAATGTGTTTGATGACTTCCAGGTGGCCTCAGATTCTCATGGTATTACTCAGTGAGACTAAACTAAGTATGTAACTGTTTCAGTGTTGATTCGGAGAGGAAAGAAAATGCTTGCAAGGACCCACTGGCCTACCTGGCCAAGCAGATGGGAGGATCCAAACGCAATGCCCTCCTCAAGTGGTGTCAGCAGAAAACTGTGGCTTATTCCGTGAGTAGAGTCACACTAGTGTTTGATGAAGGGATTCATTTAATGCTTGTCTGCCCATGTTACAGATATTTAAGAAATAAGTATTTACCTATTTATTACTCTTCCAATCCTACCTTATTTAAATATAATACTCTATTATCTTGTAACCGCACTAGTATTGTAACTAAATGTGTTAAGTATATACTGGAAGCACTTGCAATCCGAAATACTGTCACTTAATACCCTCTGTCATCTGCCTCATACTGTATTTTTCAATGAGTATTTGTACGTGGGCCTATGGCCTTTATACTGAAATAAAGAATTGAATTGAATTGATGAAGGGATTTAAAACATTTTCTAGTTCTTTGAAGTAGAGGGATGGTACACTGATGCATCGGTGGACCACAGTGTTTTACTTCTAGATGCAAGTAATGATCACAGTCGTACACTAAGTGAAAAATATCGATTCTAACCTTAAATGTTTGCTTTTGTGACTGTTACGCCAAATACTAGTTAGTATTGAATATTAGTTGTGAAAACGTAAATATCCATACTTGACACTGCAAACTGTAAATCATCAGTATGTCAGGTATTTGGCCATCCTGTCTATGAAAGACGCACCACAAATAAGAGCATGTAAAGTATCGTGAGATGTATTGGATCGTGAGCAAGATATAGTGATACATATTAGATCTCACAGTTGGTGTATCATCCAAGCCCTAGTTATTGTTATCAGATGAGTATTTCAGCCTCCACTAATGCCTGTGATTGTATATTTCAGCATGTAGATATCACCAACTTCAGCAGCAGCTGGAATGATGGACTGGCCTTCTGTGCCCTGCTTCACTCCTACCTGCCAGAGCGCATCCCATATCAGGAACTCAACTCTGATGACAAGGTAGGTCTGTATGTGCAACAAACATACTGACAAGTTGGTAAGCCAGGCATGAGCTCAGAAGTACATGTACGTGTTTTGTCAGTTATTTCAGGATGGATGGTGGTCTCCAGACCAGATGATGCTCTTTGCTCTCTGTCTTAATGTATTGAGATTTGTAAGTGGCGTGTATATTGTTTGGCTCTTAATTACAGTTGACACACCATAAGTAATTCTTGCATTTGTCAGACAATCTGAATCATATTATGGTATGTGGGAAGCCATGATCTAAACTATTTACAGACTGCAGTCATATAGCTGGGATATTGCCAAGTGCAGTAAACAATATAAAAACAAACAAAAAACATACAGAAACTGTGTTATACTCAAAGACAATAGAACTGTGATATGATTCATTGGTAACATTCTTTTTTTTTTGTCATTTGCAGCGCCAAAATTTTAAACTGGCATTTGAAGCTGCAGAAAGTGTGGACATATCAACAAATTTGGTAAGAGAGGATTCTGACTGTGTCTCTAGTATCAACTGACATATTCAAACTCATTTACCCACCTAGAGTACTTTTGTGATTAATACAAATTGACTGATTATTTTTTGACAGGGGTACAAACTAAACAAAAGTTTACGAGCATGTGTAGTGAAAACATAAGAGAATCACCTAGAAAGTTGGAAATTCTACTAGTTTTGAAAAAAACATTTGTCAATAGCCAAACTGATACAGAAGAGCTGGCCAGTGCTTTTGTCTATCTCTTGTTTGATACACAAAGGAATTACTATGGGTATTGTAAATGATTAACTGTTCTCTGTTTCAGAACATCAATGACATGGTTGCCATGGAGAGGCCTGATTGGCAGGCCATCATGTCCTATGTTACCAACATATATAGGCATTTTGAGTTGGATGGCAAATCATAGTACACTTCCAGTAGCAAGGAATCAAGAGTGATCTCCCTTTGTCTATACTGTGCGGACCAATATTGTTATGCTGTGATGTCTTGTTAAATCATTTTTGCTTAAGACTAATTAACATTCACATATTTGAAACAAATGAGAAAAAAACAATAACTTTAGGTGGGTTGGGGGTCTTTTTTATCTGTCGTGTCTGTAAAATAATGCCTTGTCTTAGGACAGCTTTTATTTTTTATATAAGCTTTAAATTGTGATAATCTGTGACCATTGATTTGTTACATCTCTCTTATCTTCCTTTTTTTAAAAACACCACAGTAAAAGCTTTTGTTATTGTTTTTGTTGCTGCAGTATTATTTTTGAGATGTTGTATTTTAGGTATTATTGCTTCAGACATTCACATTTCAAATTGTATATTTTTCAGTGACATATATTTTTTATCATATGTTTTGACCAATGAGATTGGTATTATGACATTCTCAGTGTCCATGCAGATTTCACAACAATATATATAGAGAGAAATAAACCATCAAAATTGAAACCATATTAATTTCCCTTACCAAAACAATTAATTGAATGTTTGTTAAACATTTGGCTCAAATTAAAATATTTTGATTCAGTGTACATATGTTAAAAAAGTATTATTCTTGAGTTTCAAAAAGGACATACAACTGTGATGTAAGTGAATAAATTGCAACCCACCCTAAAAATACTGACAACTGCCTGTACATATTGATGTATATTTATACGAAACACTGTCTGTGTATGCCCACTTTGAGAAGGTATCTACTTTGATTGTTGACAGACATTGTGGTTCTGAAATACAGTGGCTATTGACTCTGTCCTGTTGACAGTATTCATTAGGGCAAGTGCCAGATAGGCCTTCATAGAAAAAAATTTCTGCTTGTATTTTCTGGTGGCATAGAAATATTGCTTTTAAGTTTGATGTCTGCATGTTATAAATATTATATTCTATTGCTAGTGCAAAATAATCAGTGCAATAATTTTTTGGGTTGTCTCCCTTTCATAATGAAGCCCCTTTTCTTTAATGACAATTTACAAGCTTCAGTCTCATTGATTACTTTTTGCTGTTTCCTGTCTACGCTGAAATGTTGCTGTTCTCGGATTCTTATAAATGGCTTTTCTCTTAGATGGGAGGCACCCAAATTACATGTGTCAATTTATTGATGTAAGCTCATCATCAGTATGTGTCATTTTACTAACAAGTCTAATACGGTTAATCTTACTCACTGATTGATGGCTTGCTATGAAAATACTCAGTATTGTCTTCACTTTTATTCAATTTCAAATAAGTAATTTGTTGCTGATAAGTAGATTGTCTAGCATGCCTATAATATGATGCGTGTATTACTGGAAGTGATAGTCAATAGTTACAGAGGAGAATGAAGTATACCAAACTGTATCAGTTTGTGCCGTTCATACAGTTCACAGAACACTGCATGCAACATTCAGACATGGTGCAGTTGACAAGTGTTCCTTTGATTCAGTAATAATCTCATAGTGGAATAGGAAACAGTATTACAGGTACAAAAGCTCAGAACGATGTCATTCTTGAAGGAAGATGTGCTAGACTGGATTGTCTTAGCTGTGGCAACCTTTTGGATGCTATAAACTTAATATTGAATGTTGTGCCATATCTATGTTTTTTCTCCTGAAACCTAGTTTATTTGGAACATTTCACGAATGACATGTAAAAAGTATTACAATAAGTCCTTTAAGTAATGGAACTGTATACATGACCTAGTTTATGGTGATAACCATGCTAATATAAAAGCGATGTACATGGGACCAATACATTTGCTTTCCAAGTACTTTTGTTGTTTTTCCAGCTGTCTGCCCAATGTTCATGTAATATTTCATGCCTTGGTCAAACTGGATTATCCAATACCTCCTCAACAGTGTTTGAAATAGAAACAATTGCCAGGCTGCCATCAGGACCCACAGACTTTAGAAGCTGCAGGCCCTGACTAAACTCTTCAGGCCCTCATGTCAAACACTGCAGTTTACTGTCACAAATAAATCAACATCTAAATTTACTACCAGCCATAAGGACACGTGCAAATTTAGAACTACAGGCCCAAACTGAGATCTACCTGCCATGGGCCTACGGTCAGGTGCTTATTTCGGACACCGCTCCTCAACATCTCCATTCTGTTATGATATATACCCTGTACATGTTGACCACAATAGCTTGTTACAGAAGTTGATGCCACCATCTCCATCTCGGACCATTTAACTTGCTTATGAGTTTGGAATCAACAACCTGTGAAAATACCTCTTCTGAACGTGAGTTCAGCATACATCTACACGCCTAAACATAGCCCCTAGAAACGAGCCGCAGTATAGTTAATCAGAAGATTATAATGAACATTTAGCTTGAAATGTTTCCCTGAGTATTAAGAGGGTGGGTGGAAGGGGTGCAGATTTGAGGAGAGATTATGTTTTTTATCTTCGACCTATAGAAATGTAAGCATTACTTTGAGTTGTACCACTTAGGCTTCCAAATGACAATTTTTGTATGAATGACAGATAATGATGTAATAGAAAGCACAAGTAGCTACTGATTCCAAATATTGTGATGAGGTGGAGGGACGTTTACCTTCATCCATTAGAGAATCTGTGCATATGGATATGTAAACTTTCAGAAACAAAACTTGCATTTATATATAACTGAAAGTAAGTGGTCATGTTGATGCTATATGTACCTTCATGACGATTGGGGTTAAAAAGGTTGTCGGGTAGATTGGGTTCATAGTTTCTCACCCTTCAAACTAGTGGGAAGTGAAATTAAACAGGCATGTCTATTTATGGCTCAACATAACACCCCCAAGTACTGTTTCAGAAATTTGACAACACTTAAATGTGAAATAAACAGTTTTATTCCCCGCTAGTATATTACTGTGTGAATGTCCAAGTTTATGAATGAGAATAACATCAAGCTTCCAGACCTGTGATTCTCCCTCATGCAAAGCCAAACTTGATGCTACAACATCTTTATATCCAGAACACTTTATGGTATAGGCTATCATTGTTTCATTAATGCTGAGACGCTTCCAAGCCAAATGACTACCAGAATAGACAATGTTGGTGTATGCTAAATGTTTTGAATGATGATCGTAGAATGTAGGTTTTATCAGTTGCACAAAGATGGTGGAATGTATAGAAAATGGTTTGAAATTTTACTTTGTGCTAGTTGACCAAAATGTTCTAGTCTCTTGTTTTATGCAAATGACAAAATTGTAAATACATAACTACATAACTACAATGGCAATATGTTGAAATTGATATCAAAACAAGACCATTTTATGCAGTGGATCTTTTGCAGTGAAATGTTAGTAATTGTGAAGTTTCATTAATTGAAATTAATTGAATCATAATGGAGAAACATAATGTGTGTGTTATTCCAATCAGTTAATTCTCTGTTTACATTATAGCAACAAATTGGTTTCTAACAACACTCCTCCACTGGTGGTTTGATTGAACAGACATGCACACTATGATCAACCACAGTAGGAAGAGTTGAGTCACAAGCATGTTGAGGGTTCCGGTTTCCATTTGTGGCTACATTTTAATGCTAATTATGTTAAATAAATTGAGGTAAGTTTTATCTAATTCTGTCTGTTACAGTTTTAAGAATAAACACATTATTGATGCATGGAAGTGTGGCTTGTTTGTGTGATATATACTGCAGTAACAAGGATCTTCACAAGCAGCTCAATTGCCAGATCGTCTTTTATTCATTATGTGTCCTTAGTCAATGTAAGTATAAATCATAATTGTTAGCATGTGTTATACATCAGTTTATGTTTTATTCAATCTTGTAATCTGTAGAAGTTTGACATAGAACAAGGTTTTGTGTGAAGCCCATTCCTAGTGTCCCCCACAATGATATTGCTGGAATATTGAAATATCACAGCTGTAAGGACTACTTTTTCCTTGAACTAAACACTAGGCAAACAGTGATATGTATTTCCTGTGGTTGGGCACCAACTCACACCCAGCAGCAAATGCTCAAGCATGACCAGTAGATATATACACAATTGTCTGAGTCCTCATTACCAAGGGTGTCCTGCTCAGTCCCCCAGTCAGGACTGCTAGTTCTCTGGTGCTGGAAACATATGGTCAGATAGAACTAGGGCAGGCTGGTTTTAGGTAAATGCAATTCTGAAGTATGCATATTGGCATCATATATGTCTATTTTCTCTTGTTTGTTTTTTGAGTGTTTGTACAAGAGAGTGCATGTAAATTCCATCTATCCTGGGAAATTCACCAGTCCATTAAAATCTTTTACTCCAATACCATACCTCTGCATGAAGATCTGACAAAAAACCCTCATTGAAGGTTAACTAGAAATTAGCCAATCAGTGTTGAGGCTTCTACAAAATGAAGTATTCAGACCGGCATTTCTGATTTCTGTACCTCAAGAACTAGAGGCCACATCATATTGGAGAAAGAATCGGGAGTTTTATGTGATTGGGAGGTTCCTCGTCACAGATTCAGAGTGGACCCACTTTTCTGGAGGATTCAGATACGGTGTTTGTCAACTGCCTCATTGATACGATTCAACCACAGATTGGGAGGTTCCTAGTCACAGATTCAGAGTGGACCCACTTTTCTGGAGGATTCAGATATGGTGTTCGTCAACTGCCTCATTGATACGATTCAACCACAGATTGTGAGGTTCCTAATCACAGATTCAGAGAGTGGTACCCACCACTGTGGTGGTTCCAGAGATGGGGGAGGCTACTGTCTCAGTCATGTGAGTCAATCACAGATTGGTCTTATATTTCAGAGAGTTCCTGTGGCTATTGTGGTCATGTTTCTGGTATTTTTCTTAACATTAAATTTTTTGTAATTACATGTGCCAGTGGATTCATCAGAACCTGACTGCTGTTTCGCAAGTATGAAAGTGAGGAGGTCTAGGTCTGACAACTCACATAATTTCACCTAGTTGAGCCCTTCTTGGTGGTGGAGCCCTTTGACAAGAGGGGGAATGTGTGTTATGTTGAGGGAGAACTGAGATGCAGCCCTCTACCCACCCTTTCCTGTATGCATGAAAACTGTTCCTCTGGTTACCTTAATGAGAGAGTTAGAAACACTTCACGTTTATTGACATCGCTTCCAGTTTGGGAAAACATGTCCAATGCAGAAACATTTTGAAACACAAAATCCTCTGCCTACAGCTACCCTAATAAGAAAATTATATTGACCTTACCCCACAATTTCAGCTAATCATATGTTTACATATTTATAGTTGACAACATGCTTGCTCTTACAGACATCTCAGATTGGTTCACTCAACAAAGAAGCAGAACTCCCTAACAAATGACATTCCAGTGAACTTACCTTCAATGAAGTTTGCTCAAAAGCTTACCAGTTCACTGACTCATCTTAAGTATGATATGTACCCAATTTCATCCTATGAAAATAAAACTTTTTTTAAGTTTATGACCTTGAGAGTCATCTAGTGGATAGATCGTCTGTCCAGAGAGTGATAGGTCTTTGGTTCGATCCTCGGCCGCGTCATACCAATAGACGTCAAAAGATGATACTTGTTGTTACCCTGCCTGGCACTCGGCATGAAGGGGCTAAAACAAGGACTGGTCGGCTCGGAGTCAGTATACTGTGTCTGAGTGGGGTATTCATGTTAAACTGCAGCATGGTATCTCAGTGGGCTAGCACAATAAACTCGGCATTAGTCTGGACAAGCACACACACACACACGTGCATGCACGTCGCTATAAAAGTGCAATAATCTTGACCGTGATGTTAGTCCCCATTTCACCTCACCTATAGAGTGAATCTGACCTTCAACATCAGTTACAACTATTTCAAGGGCAATCCAGCATATGAACCAAATATAATGTCCCTACTGGAATTCAACAAAACGAACATGCTTCTCATTGAAAGTAGATCCAATTGACCCACCATTAGTTATCATTAGATTGTCATCACTTGTCAAATGATATAACCACTACATGCATAAGACTTACAACTATCTTCATAAAAAGGCATTTGAGTGAAAATGGCAAACATACAAATTACCTTCACTGTGACCTTGACCTCAGGATGACGTACCAAGTTTCATTGAGTTTCCTTCTTGAGGTGGGCTGTAAGTTTTGTTCAGGCTATGACGGGAAGGGGACATGGCATATATGCCAAAATGATTTCCCTGCATCACAAAGGACATATATACATGATAACCCTGAGATGTCCAAGCTCCCCATGATTTCAAAATGAAACTGCTCATACTTCTTAAATCAAAAGGATTGTAACTTCTCATACATAAGTATTCAAACAATATAACCACTACATGTATAAAACCTAATACTAACTCTCTGCAGAAAATAACAAAATCTATTTTTAAATGACATTCATTGTGACTTGAACACAAAGTGAAAACCTTTTTTCAGATTGCAGCCCCCCAGCTCCATGGTTAACTGAAGTCCCAGTGCTTTGTAGTGCCAAGAACAGGGAATGGTTGTCAAATTCAGACAACAATAAAAAGCAAGGTGTTGCATGACAAACATGATGAGGATCCTTGTCAGAGGACCACCTCCGTAGTCTAATGGTAAAGCGTCTGCCCAGAGATAGGAAGGTCCGGGGTTCGATCCCCGGCTGCGTCATACCAAAAGACGCTAAAAGATGGTACTTATTGTTACCCTGCCTGGTGCTTGGCATTAAGGGGCTAAAACAAGGACTGGTCAGCTTGGTGTCTGAGTGGGGTATTCATGTTAAACTGCCATGGTATCTCGGTGAGCTAGCACTATAAATACGGACTAGTACAAGCAGCCACACAAACACACACATGAACATGCACATCGCTATATAAGTGCAATAATCTTGGACGCGACGTTAAACCCAATTTCACCTCACCTCCTTGTCTGAGCTGAACAAACAACAATATCCATCATATGAACAGACATTTTAATATTGTCCATCACAGAACAAATACAGTCTACATTATATCTGTAATGCTACTGTTAACAAGCCTGCCTTGTTGTAACAACTGGCATGATAGTTAGTCTTCTGCACTGGCTTGGTGTCAAATACTTCAGCGGCAAGCAATAACATTTCCTCTTACCAGTACATGTTTATGTTACATACTTTCATAACATTTAAGAAAATAATATAATTTAGAAAATAACCATAGATCAAGTGATTAAAAACTGAATTCAGTGAATTAATTTGTATGAAAGATCAAGAATTTCATTTCAACTTTTAGAATAAGACACATCAACTCTTTGAATCACTGTCATAAATGTAGGATACGTTGCAATCAATTGTAGTACAGGCGGAGTGTACACATTTCATAAGACCAAGCTTAATTTATCCAAGTTTCTAAAACTCTATCCCGGCATACTTGGCTCCATCCTGGCATGGCTGGCACACATGTCTGGGTACCTGTTCCACTACTACACCTGGAACAACACTGAATCTTCCAATATAAAATGAACACTGTAACCTGTGAGAGACGAAGCTAGTATTAGAACAAATGAGATCTCTCAACAACAAAAATATCAAGGAAAATCGTTACATTTCATATTGCCAAATGTTAATAAATATTTTCCATGATGTCCCAAGATTCTAAACAAAAGTCAGTTCTGAGTCATGAAGCAAACAATCCAAATTACTTTCAATGTCTGTGGGTGTGAGGAGGAGTTACCTCCCTTCTGTTGCTTGCTGTTCAACATTTTGGTTGGTCCACAATTTTAAGAACCACAGAATTCTGTTTAAATATTTTAGAAGGTGCAGATATTATACAGTGTTAGACCCAAGCTAGGTGTGAAGCCAGTCATGGAACCATTATTATTGTGGGTTTCCAGGACGACAAAACTTTACTTGGCACACAACATATAGAATCTATTTTCAGAATATATGCTTTTAGTATGCAATATGACATTGATATATTCCTTTATGTCCACAGCTGGTTGACTATTGTGGTATATAAAAGATGACTCTGTCATAATATAATTCCATATGATAAAACCATTGATAATATTTAACTCGACAAGCATACTGTGATCCTGGCCAAGACGTACCCTGGCACCATGGGCTCCTCTCTACTCCTACAACAGGAGGGAGCATCCTTAACTACCTTTTACTACCCCTCAACTATCTTATATTACTGAAATATTCCTACTAACTGATTTAAGATCATATTCAGGTAATGAAGGTTTGAACACAAACATAAAATACTTGGAGCTTAAAGCATACACAACATATCCAACAAACTATTGCCATTATAGTTCTCTGTTTCATAAACAACACGCATAAAACGTTTTCAATCAAAGCAACAACTTCAATTGTTATTTGATGTGTACATGCATTTTTATTGTAAAACAGCCCGAAAAAAATCCCCATTTCCACAGCCTGGAGTAACTGCCTAGTCAGCAATAATGTGGCATGAGTTATGCCTGATGACTCAAAACAACATGGGATACTAGTGCCCTGAAACGCTGCATCATTTATCACACAACAAATACAACATCAACATCAGTATGTCCCTGCATCAATATTTTCTCTGAAACAGTCATGAAAAAACAGCAACACTTTATACAGTGAACTTTCACACAATTTGCATACAATTCACATATGACATTAAAAAATCTCGTTGAAAATGACAGTGACAAGTATTTATCAAATTGATGGCTCTGAGATCATATGCTGCATGAAGTATTCAGACTTAAATAAATAGGCTTCACAGATCATCCTCAAACACACATTGCAAAACCCCTGTATGGAAACAGTTACATCGACTACAGGGGATACCAGGTTCTCCTGTAGACAACAACATGGACAAAACTCAAAATACAACAAAATAATTTGATGACATGCTGCATAAAGAAACAACTTGATGAGTTGCACCTGGAGTATCATCACCAATCTTACAGAACATCTTTGTTTGTTCGTTTGTTTGTGTTTTGTTAACGCTGCACTCAGCAATATTCCAGCTATATGACAGCAGTCTGTAAATAACTGAGACTGGACCAGATAATCCTGGAATTGACATCATGAGCATCGATCTTTGAAATTGGGATACGATGACATGCATCAACCATGGAAGCAAGCCTAAATACCCGATTACATTAGTCGCCTCTTAAAACAATCATGGGTTGCTGAAGAACTATTCTAACCCTGTTCTTCACGGGTCCAGAACATCTTGTAAATAACTAGCTAAGAAGATGTATGCGGCAGTCTTTGAACTAGTTTATTTTTTTCCATATACATATACATACATGTATATACTGTTGGAAAATTAGGGATCGCATGAGGAGTGACACCAGGAACAGTTCATGATGTGGTCTCATTCAGTGATACCTGGAAGGTATTAGAGGAAAATGTAAACAGAAAGCATGCCATCACAACTTAGTTACGGTTGCATGGCTGTAAGAGAATGATAGGAAATTGTTGCTTTGTGGCAGTGGTTGCCATGGCGACACAATACATGACAGTAGCTCGCATATGGCAAGCATTGGGCCTGATTAGGTGGGGGAAAGTTTGAAATTTGGATAGGCAAACTGGTGATGGGATAATGGGGTCCTGATGGAAGTAAAAAACAACAAACCTTTACAGAAGAAAATAACAGCATTAAGGGATAGATGCAGTTCATTATACAGCATACACACGATCAAACTGTGTGCACTTGATTTAAACCAAATGGATCAGGAAGCCATTGGCTAGTGATTGCCATTAAGATGACTGCTTCTCACAGTTGGCATGGCGTCCATTGATTTTCCATTCAATTCATGCGATCCACTATTTTCTCCAATAGTATAAAATTCAAATTGCATCATTTTCATATCGGCATAATAAACCTCAACAAAGTATTTGGGTCAACCGTGATAAGCCAGTGTGACAGCACATTATTCCTGTCACAGGACATGGCCATGGCAAACACTGGCTTCAGAATGTTGACCTCAATGAGGTAGTCGTTCTGTATTCAAAATAGATTCAATTCTGTCTTTGGTAAATAAGACATTCAACACACAGAGTTTCAGGTGGTCTCTCTGGCCCAGGACAACATTAATAATCTGTAAGTTCATGGTTAAAAATAGGTATGTATTGTGAATTCATTGCTACAGAAGTTTTCCATCATTGATGGTTCTCTTTCCCTACTGTGATACTCCAGGTGGATGGTCACGAGCTGCTGGACAAGGTACAAGAAGTTCTGCTGCCAACACGAGGTACCCTCACAACCTCAGATACAAGTATTATTGGCTGGACCCTCCCCCACAGGCTGCTGCTGCTGCTGCTGCTGCTGGTGGTGGTCCACAATAGTTCAGTAAATGTTAACAACACATACACAAACTGGGAAGAAGAAAATATTGACCATACACATAGATGTAAGTATCTGCATGTGGCTTCTGATATATGACAGATATATGTTAACTAAATGCTTCCAATATGGACATCAAGTGCAACAAGGACTGCCAGCTCAGCAAGGATATCCTCAGCCCAGCAAGGACTGCCAGCTCAAGAAGAATATCCTCAGTCAAACAAGGACTGCCAGCTCAAGAAGAATATCCTCAGTCAAACAAGGACTGCCAGCTCAGCAAGGATATCCGCAGCCCAGCAAGGGCTGCCAGCTCAGCAAGGATATCCTCAGCCCAGCAAGGACTGCCAGCTAAGGAAGGATATCCTCAGCCCAGCAAGGACTGCCAGCTCAGCAAGAATATCCTCAGCCAAGCAAGGACTGCCAGCTCAGCAAGGACTGCCAGCTCAGCAAGGACTGCCAGCTCAGCAAGGATATCCTCAGCCCAGCAAGGACTGCAAGCTCAGCAAGGATATCCTCAGCCCAGCAAGGACTGCCAGCTCAGCAAGGATATCCGCAGCCCAGCAAGGGCTGCCAGCTCAGCAAGGATATCCTCAGCCCAGCAAGGACTGCAAGCTCAGCAAGGATATCCTCAGCCCAGCAAGGACTGCCAGCTCAGCAAGGATATCCGCAGCCCAGCAAGGGCTGCCAGCTCAGCAAGGATATCCTCAGCCCAGCAAGGGCTGCCAGCTCAGCAAGGATATCCCCAGCCCAGCAAGGACTGCCAGCTCAGCAAGGATATCCTCAGCCCAGCAAGGACTGCCAGCTAAGGAAGGATATCCCCAGCCCAGCAAGGACTGCCAGCTCAGCAAGGATATCCTAAGACCAACAAGGACTGCCAGCTCAGCAAGAATATCCTCAGCCAAACAAGGACTGCCAGCTCAGCAAGGATGTCCTCAGCCAAGCAAGGACTGCCAGCTCAGGAAGGATATCCTCAGCCCAACACCGACTGCCAGCTCAGCAAGGATTTCCTTAGTCAAGCAAGGACTGCCAGCTCAGGAAGGATATCCTCATTCCAACACCGACTGCCAGCTCAACAAGGATATCCTCAGCCCAGCAGGGACTGCAAGCTCAGCAAGGATATCCTCAGTCCAACAAGGACTGCCAGCTCAGCAAGGATATCCTCAGCCCAGCAAGGACTGCCAGCTCAAGAAGAATATCCCCAGTCAAACAAGGACTGCCAGCTCAAGAAGAATATCCTCAGTCAAACAAGGACTGCCAGCTCAGCAAGGATATCCTCAGCCCAGCAAGGGCTGCCAGCTCAGCAAGGATATCCTCAGCCCAGCAAGGACTGCCAGCTAAGGAAGGATATCCTCAGCCCAGCAAGGACTGCCAGCTCAGCAAGAATATCCTCAGCCAAGCAAGGACTGCCAGCTCAGCAAGGACTGCCAGCTCAGCAAGGACTGCCAGCTCAGCAAGGATATCCTCAGCCCAGCAAGGACTGCAAGCTCAGCAAGGATATCCTCAGCCCAGCAAGGACTGCCAGCTCAGCAAGGATATCCGCAGCCCAGCAAGGGCTGCCAGCTCAGCAAGGATATCCTCAGCCCAGCAAGGGCTGCCAGCTCAGCAAGGATATCCCCAGCCCAGCAAGGACTGCCAGCTCAGCAAGGATATCCTCAGCCCAGCAAGGACTGCCAGCTAAGGAAGGATATCCCCAGCCCAGCAAGGACTGCCAGCTCAGCAAGGATTTCCTTAGTCAAGCAAGGACTGCCAGCTCAGGAAGGATATCCTCATTCCAACACCGACTGCCAGCTCAACAAGGATATCCTCAGCCCAGCAGGGACTGCAAGCTCAGCAAGGATATCCTCAGTCCAACAAGGACTGCCAGCTCAGCAAGGATATCCTCAGCCCAGCAAGGACTGCCAGCTCAGCAAGGATATCCTCAGTCCAACAAGGACTGCCAGCTCAGCAAGGATATCCTCAGTCCAACAAGGACTGCCAGCCCTGCAAGGATATCCTCAGCCCAGCAAGGGCTGCCAGCTCAGCAAGGATCACCTACTGTGGGGGGCAGAACAGATATTGGCACACTCATGAACCCTGAATTATACATAATAGAGATTTGTTCCAGAGTTTGTATTTGAAAATAAATATCAATAATTCGGCAGAAAAATCATATATAGTTACAAACTGGGTAATGGAACCAGGAGGCTGAAAGTCTGATGAACTGTGGCTGTTTGACGTGGATCATCTGGCACTTCTCAAACATGGACCCAGTTAACAAAACCACTTTTATGTCACATTAACTGTTGATAGTAACTCTGCCAGGTGATGGGAAGTGCGACTGTATAGCCAGCCTTTGATATTGCATGCATCCTGCACCTGCCTGCCTGCACCAGCTCCTGCAGGTGGCCACATGTACAGAGGGCCTATTTCTGTATGAACACGTCTGTGATTGGAATACCCTGTGTCAGCAAGTGTAAATCAGTAATATCTCTGCATGTCAACCACAACAACTATTAATGTTACACGATCCACTTCACAAAGCAAAACAAACTAAATATAGTTGTGTTGTTGAAAATATAAACTTCTGTCTGTCTTACAGCATAAAGAGTGAATTGTTCTGTTTCAACTGAGGAAACCCAATAAATATTAAATAGACCCAAGTCACTCCCAAAAGATGAAATATTTGGACCGCATGTTGTCTGTACTGTCGATGATGTGGGTTATGTGAAGTCATCTCATCCAATCACATCACCATACCAGTGTACTGTCTTCAGTTACTCAGTCCCTACTGACAGGCAGTACATCACCATCAGGAGAATCAGAGGGGTGTCATAGGCTTCAAAAATTGAGCAGTTCATTTTTGACAAAATGTATGAAAATGTAGACATTAGAAAAAGTTGCTTTCTCTGCAGAAAATACAATGACTATGTATATATAAGGCAGCGAATAATCTAATATATGAAAATACACAAAACATAAATCTGGAAAATATATCTCTAGGTTAGGAAATCACTAACATACATGAAAATAATAATTTGTCCAAAGTATAAAATTACAGACGAAATGTCCACCACAAATTGATTGCCAAGGAAGAAACATTTCATGGAAGATAAAAACTAAACTAGTTCATGCAGTGCGACCAAACATTAATAATAGTCCCAGAGATCAGGATAAAAATTGAAGTATGATGATATTACTACACACCAATATAACACTTTTGTGTCTGTAATTCAATGTACTCAGCATCCCATGATCAATACCCACTTTTTCACATGTCCCTCAATATTCATCTGCTTCTCAGCACCTTTGACTGATAATTCAAGTGGCCCATTCTGCACCTTCTCAAACTTCATGTTTGCTATCAGCTGCTTCCCTGGAAAATTCATGCACCTCTTTCTGCACCTTCCCTGGATATTTTATGCATCCTATCTGCACTTTTCTCTGATAATTCACTGGCCTTCAGCACCATAATTCTCTTGATACTAATTTTAAATGTCCACTTTCCCTTGATACTTAATTCACGCGTCCTCTATACTTTCCCTTGACAGATAATTCATGTTCCCTCAAAACACTTTTTCCATTTTCTCTTGCAGTACAGTAAGCCACGCCCCTCTTCCCTTACATGCTGTTTTGGAGCAGTTAAGCCACGCCCCTCAACATCTTCCCTTCCCTTACATGCTGTATTGGTACAGTAAGCTTCGCCCCTTAACATCTTCCCTTCCCTAACATGCTGTAAGCCATGCCCCTCAACATCTTCCCTTCCCTAACATGCTATATTGGTACAGTAAGCTTCGCCCCTCAACATCTTCCCTTCCCTAACATGCTGTAAGCCACGCCCCTCAACATTTCCCTTCCCTAACATGCTGTATTGGTACAGTAAGCTTCGCCGCTTAACATCTTCCCTTCCCTAACATGCTGTATTGGTGCAGTAAGCTACGCCCCTCTACATCTTCCCTTCCCTAACATGCTGTAAGCCACGCCCCTCAACTTCTTCCCTTCCCTAACATGCTGTATTGGTACAGTAAGCTTCGCCCCTCAACATCTTCCCTTCCCTAACATGCTGTAAGCCACGCCCCTCAACTTCTTCCCTTCCCTAACATGCTGTATTGGTACAGTAAGCTTCGCCCCTTAACATCTTCCCTTCCCTAACATGCTGTAAGCCACGCCCCTCAACTTCTTCCCTTCCCTAACATGCTGTATTGGTACAGTAAGCTTCGCCCCTTAAAATCTTCCATTCCCTAACATGCTGTAAGCCACGCCCCTCAACATCTTCCCTTCCCGAACATGCTGTATTGGTACAGTAAGCTTCGCCCCTTAACATCTTCCCTTCCCTAACATGCTGTAAGCCACGCCCCTCAACATCTTCCATTCCCTAACATGCTGTAAGCCACGCCCCTCAACATCTTCCCTTCCCTAACATGCTGTAAGCCACGCCCCTTAACATCTTCCCTTCCCTAACATGCTGTAAGCCACGCCCCTCAACATCTTCCCTTCCCTAACATGCTGTAAGCCACGCCCCTCAACATCTTCCCTTCCCTAACATGCTGTAAGCCACGCCCCTCAACATCTTCCCTTCCCTAACATGCTGTATTGGTACAGTAAGCTTCACCCCTTAACATCTTCCCTTCCCTAACATGCTGTAAGCCACGCCCCTCAACTTCTTCCCTTCCCTAACATGCTGTATTGGTACAGTAAGCTTCACCCCTTAACATCTTCCCTTCCCTAACATGCTGTAAGCCACGCCCCTCAACATCTTCCCTTCCCTAACATGCTGTGTTGGTACAGTAAGCTTCGCCGCTTAACATCTTCCCTTCCATAACATGCTGTATTGGAGCAGTAAGCCACACTCCTCTACATCTTCCCTTCCCTAACATGCTGTAAGCCACGCCCCTCAACATCTTCCCTTCCCTAACATGCTGTGTTGGTACAGTAAGCTTCGCCGCTTAACATCTTCCCTTCCATAACATGCTGTATTGGAGCAGTAAGCCACACTCCTCTACATCTTCCCTTCCCTAACATGCTGTAAGCCACGCCCCTCAACATCTTCCCTTCCCTAACATGCTGTGTTGGTACAGTAAGCTTCGCCGCTTAACATCTTCCCTTCCATAACATGCTGTATTGGAGCAGTAAGCCACACTCCTCTACATCTTCCCTTCCCTAACATGCTGTAAGCCACACTCCTCTACATCTTCCCTTCCCTAACATGCTGTAAGCCATGCCCCTCAACATCTTCCCTTCCCTAACATGCTGTAAGCCACGCCCCTCAACATCTTCCCTTCCCTAACATGCTGTATTGGTACAGTAGCTGTTGCTACTACACTGATCCCAGGGTACTAAATACATTGAAGACAGCACCAGACACCAATAAGAAACATACAGGAATTGACTACGAAATATTGCATCATAGTTACTAATATATTACTGTCTATGATTCATATAAAACATTGTAAGAATCATTTTCAGTATTTTACAATGTTCATAAATTCTAAGTTTTTCCACCTCAAACAAATTGCAAGACTTGTTTTCCTTCTCTAATTATGATGAGCTGGTGTAGTATATTACACCCTCTGATATCAATACTCAAGCATACAATGACTGAGCTGTAATTGAATGATAGTTTTTGAGCAAACTTGAAGTGCTACAGAACTATCAAGCACTACGTCTGATTTTGCTGACAATGTTACTGTCCACAAGATGCATAAATACAATGATTTTTTATTCTAGTGTCTTCTATGTTTCAACTTCTTTTATTCAACATTAAGAGCCACATGGCCTACAGTGTAGAAATGTGTCATTTATGTAGTATACATTTCTAGAATCTAGGATGTATTGGTACAAGTCCTGCAATGGGAATACAAATTATACTGACATAAAACAGTTAGTGGACAAGGAGGAGGACAGTCTCTTCATTAATCTATTTATGCCTGATAATCATCAGGACATGTTGTCAACAAACACAACAATGTTGTTGCTAACACTAAACTGACTTGTTCCTGATGTCAGAGACTGCTGGGGGTAAGGCACCAGGTCGGAGCCCAGTCCAGCATGCAGTCCTAGTGCTAAGAATGTGACTGGACTCGGACTCTGCTGTTGCCTTGAAGGTGACACTGACTGACCGTCAGTTCTTGTGACTAGACCAGCTTCAACAACATTAACATAAGACTGTAAACATGAGAAGCACCAGTGAGAAGTTTAGGATGAACATCCCTGACTACAACAGAGGTCCACAAACATCCTGCTCCACCCGCCAGCTCTGCCAGGGAATGCTGATTCTATCTTCATGAGATCTTTACAATGTAGACGGCTTGTTAACCTTGTGAATCCTTTGGCCACTGTGCACAACAAGACATGATGAGGTGCGTCATTTATCCAACATGATAGTCATGAATACATGCTTTAATCAGTATTGCCAGTCATAGCTGAGACGGAGATGTTCTGTACAAGGTGCTGAGTGAGATCAGAATAGTGGGTATTTTGTGGCCTAGCTTGGAGGTAACTGTCTGATGCTTGCCTGACACTTGATGAGGCAGCACGTGAGCAACTCCCTCAGAATCCTACAACAGGGGAGTTGTCCTCACCTTGGTGAAGGGTGATCAGCATTCCCCTGCATGTCCTGACACATCAGTCCCCACCCCAGGGGAGCTGAACTACAGCTGTCAACTGTATCTACATGGACTAATATCAACTGGTGACACCCGAGATGGCGAAGAAACACAAACAGCATCAGCCTTACTACATTACTGAATATCAGCACACCCATTTTGTCAATAGGACAGGAAAACGAAACAGTCCTAGTTCATTACACCATGGCCTTAATTCTGTCCTCTTTAACTTAGCTTAGAGCGTTGTTTCCATAAACATAAGGTCTGTGGTTGAAATTGGAAAAAGTGGTGGCAAAAACCTCTGAAAAACGTGACATAAAATTAATATTCAGAAAAAAAAGTAAAGAAATGAACATATTAGTTCAGGGAAAAAATGGCAAGGAAGAAAAAAATATGCCTAACATCATACTGTCGCCAACATAGTGTCGTGATTATTTGTACATACTCAGCCTTTCCTATCTAAAGAAACATACCACCTACTTGTCAGCTACCAACCGGGATGGGATGTACACACAAAACCGGGAACTGAACCAACTGATTTTTTATACACTATACGGTAGCTAGTTTCTTAAAATTATCATCATGATCACACCTTTCCATCATGTTCATATATATCATTAACAACAGAACTGCATACAATTTCAGGTTTAAGTAAATACAAAATGTTTCTTCAAGGGCTGACATTGCTGTGTGTGTTTCATCGACCATCCCCTCACAACATCCATTTATCAGTAAATAAATAACAGAAAAAATATACACCGTATTCACAAAAGACTACAAAAGCCTATGTTGTACAAAATGACACATATGTAAAAATATCTGTATAGAAATAATCACTCTCTCATTCAGGAGACAGTGGGTGACCACACCTGTCATCACTGACCAACCTCGGACAGCTGACCGTCGCTTCTTGAACCAGGTGCATCTAGGCCAAGCCTTGTAACCTTCAACCTGGGATACAACTATCTTACTTTGGACCAAAACTCACAATGATGTTTGCAGTGTGAACCTGACTTGGGGTAACATTATTTTCACTTCTCAACACAATAGTTTTCCTAGAATCAAATGATGGCTAATTTTGATGTTTCATCATACGAACACATAGAGTAATATCACATGCAGAAATAAAAAAAAAGCACAAAACTATTGGCAGATGTTATAAAATTCAGGAAGGCAATCCCCAAATGATTATACACGGCCCAAACTAATACTGATCTCCTATGTGTTCGAGAAGTTCCAACGCCAGCTCATGAGAGTGTGACACCAGACCAGGTCCACACTGTACTAACACGGATCATGTAAAATATAGGGAGAATCTGTATCTCCGTCATTGAGTTGGAAGCTAGTGGATCAGATGCATGGCATGAACACCACAATCAGGCAATACTTAGTTTCATCTAGCACTACAAGCGAAAGTGGTTGCTTTATGTTAGGTGAGACCACTGTCACTTGTTGCTAACAAAGTATGTATCTACTCTGCATCCCCAACTGTTGACACACGAGGTTCACACTACATAGTGCATGGTGTGGTGCTGGGTAATAGGGCAGTGAGCTGTGTGAGCAATATATGAACAGGGGGTTGGGGGCAGGGAGGAGGGGCAGGGAGGGGGGGCAGGGAGGGGGCAGCTGATGGGTGCAAGGTAACTCACAATGGCAGTCATATTTTCACAGCTAAAATAATATATTTTCAAACATTCAAGATGATACCATTTGCCAAAGATGACTATTAGAACTAGTAGATTGTTTCATTGAAAAGTAATTCTGATCAAGGAATACTGGATAAGTTAATTTACATTCAGTCCGCAAAAACAAAAGACGCGATAATTAGGATAAACAGATTCCAAATGTAAATTTCCCTGGCCTGAACAAAAATTGAATCCGTCTTTTCTTATCCACAAGCCAACAGATGAAACCTGTGTGTATTTGTTGATTATGCTGGGGACTTTCCTCTGTGCATTACACTCACTACTGAACAGTCTGTAAATAAAAGTACATCACAACAAATGTCTAACATGTGTATATAACATAAAGCTACATCAACAAAACAAAACCAACAAAACAATAAATGTACCCGCAGAAATTATGGAATATCAGGTGTTAAAATAGAAGCTTCTAGCTTGACAAAATAGGAAATAAACTTGTGCATGAATAGTGTATGTATTAAGGCAGGATAGAGTAGGTGCATCTGTCCTCAATATCAACAGTAGATAGTCCCTTATATTTCACTTATATGCATTACTTAATATCTCTAAGAAGTCAGATTGTCAAACTGAATCAACAGCCATTTCTTGCAGCCATTCCTGGACTGATTGACTCACTATCATAAATCAACTTCATTCAAAATCATCTATCTTGACTCTCTTCTTTAAAATATTTCCATAGGTATCTTCTGCCATAACAGTAGCTGTGGTGGTCCCCTCTGGGATGGCCTTGACCCTTGACCTCTTGAGTGTAAAGTCCAGTGGTGGAGTCTCGTGGAGAAATTCCCAGTGATGAAACACGAGTCCCCCAGGATCTGTCCGGAGCTCCACCAGCCTCAGACCACTTGCTGACAGAATGTGGCACTTGCTGACAAAGAAGAGTACACATTTATACAATTTAACAACGCACACACCCAGTAAAGATTTACACACATTTAATGGGACCTAAACAAGCACCAGATTTAGGCAATCATATTTTTGAATGATAGAGTAGTACAATTATTTTGCTCATCAAATTCTACAAAGTGGTTGAGTTTTTCAATGACATCATGTCAGTGTAATTTGGGGTGAAGCAAAAGTGATGTAGGTCCTTGAAACCCACTAGCACAAGTTTCATACTGTTTGTGTGTTGTTTCATGATTTGTAAAATGTCCTCAATAATTGACTTCTTTCACACCAAAATGGCAAAAAGCAAGTATCAATATTTGTAAACTATGCAGACATATTTCACACTTCATATTTTACTGTCGACCTCAGAGATGATCCATCTCAGAACTACACACTAATGCAGCACACAAGCCAGATAAAGACACCTTCCTGTGTGGCTACATACTACCAACAGTTATAGTTACATACACTCTTGTTGCAGTATACCCAGTCTCTACCTTCAGGAAGAACAATAAAGTGTCGAACCTACTGCTGGAGTGTGAGGCTACCTTTGTCTGACATAACACCAGGGGTCCGGAAAATTTATAATCCTAATCGGACATTTGCATTTAGGCCACGCCCCCTTCAAATAGCGTATTTTAGTACAACTTTTCACACGCATTAAAAGTTGTTACCTCCAGTGTTCCCTCGTTATTGCACGCTTCAATTGCACTCGGTTATAGCGCGCGGTAAAGCATGGCTCCCCATATTTACCAACACTTTTTAATAAACTCAAGTTTTCCATTGACACGGCAATTTCTCCCATCTCAGAAAACATTATCAGCTGATCACCGCGATAACGTAACAAAGGAAATACCAGTCAATAAATACGAACTGAAGTACGAAATTTAATCCTATTATCATAATATCTGGTAATAAAAAAATTGTTCATTGTTTATCTGGACTAATGTTTGCAATATATTTTATTAATTATATTCAAAATTTCATTCAATAATTATAATAATGTTTACAATAACTGCGGCAAAATCGTATGCACAACTCACCATTATTTACACCAACCACGGTCAGATTACCGCTATTGATGCCTTGAAACGAACTTTAGTTGCAAGAGAATGGATACACATATCATAAATGCCTTACCATAACACGCTCAAAGTCAATTATGCCATTTTCAGTATGGTGTAGCAAACCAAAGCGTACACTTGGCTCAGTACTGATCTATACACTATATTTGTTTGGTGAGCCTGACACCCCTACACAACAGAGTCCGGTAGAGGAGCATGACCTTTCTAGAGACAACCATACTCTGCAGCCACTGGGACTCTCCCATCAACAATTGGCTCTATCACCACATATTCACCTTCCACAGAATATTATGAACCCACAGTCAAGCCTTACTTGGAAAGAACTGGATTTTTTCTTGGATCGTCTGTGCTAGCTTTGTTAAACCATCTAAAATGAAAACATGATTAATAATGAGCATTGATTCTGAATGTACGTCTGTATGTACATAATGGAAGCATAGAAGTTTTCCTGTAGAAGTAGCTCAGTGTTTGTCTACAGCAGCTAGGAGGCATCACAATTTGTGTACCCCCCACAGACACATTCTCGCAGCCATATGTCCCTTAAGTGCCATTACACTGAACACACACCAAATTTACGCAAAATCAAATCTCTCTTGGATATTGAAAAGTCAAGTGCTGTCATTACATGAAATCAATTAATCTGATTAGGGTGATTGTGAGGGTTTTGCTATTGGTAAAGCCCTGCTTGGTTGATATTTAAGAGAAGCTGAAGAGACTACATTGAGGAGATAGTGAATAACTGGCATGGATAATTTGTGTGTGGGTTGAAGTAAGAGCCAGCTGGAGGCCTTCAGCTGGATGTACTGCCACCATCACCTACATGTTGTCTAACTCCTACACTAGCTGACGTGAAGCAAATCAGGAATGGATCATCACAGGCAATGATGATATATTAAAAGGTTCTGCAGCTCACCTATCAAGGAAGAGCTTATTGAAGCCTGAAGTGCAAGTGCAAATAACTCATTAGTCAATAGAACTGTACAAAGTGCGAGGCTTTCAGGTCTTCCTCTGCATCTTTACTTCACTCAGTCCCCCAAATCCATTTCCTGCACTATTAGTAGACACTTACTGAAGCTTTACTCATAGCTCTAACTAGAGTTTGCTGGTATATTCCACAAAAAGTACTGATGCTGTCAAGTGTACATTAGGATACATTGGATCCTCCTCCTCAATTATCCACTGTATTCCATGTTTTATTATGACATCTAAGATAGCTGAGCGATAAATAGCAAAGAACAATGAAGAGCGAAGCCTGGTTTATTTCACCATAAAACATTGTTCTATCATGATGTGATTCCTGGAGATTTGAACATGCACTTAATGATGTCGTAAATTGGACATACGTTTTGATAGGGAAGTGTCTAAAGAGTTGTTCCCCAAGTGAACAATGGCCAAATGATCGCATTCAAAGTGAGAGAGATATGAAAATCGGTATTGGGAGAAACGATATAGATAAACAATGTGAAAATTGTAAGAATATCCAGGAAACACCAAACATAAACCCCCTGTTCATAAAATGGACTTGTCCCACATTGCAGAGGTCGGATTGCATTCAGGGAGTCATCATTATTTAAATACGGGAAAAAGGTTTTAAAGCATGTACATTTTTTTGTACAAAATGTTGACATCTTATATAAGAAATAAATGACCTGTGATTGTTGTTTATTATACAATTAACTACTGCAGGGAGAATAAACAATGGGGGGCTCCCCTCACGGCTTATTCCCCCTGCAGTGTTTTATTGTGCAGTGTTTTATTGTACGATAAACAACAACCCAATGACCACCATTTGTTTATTTCTTAAATACTCCCTGAACCTATTGGCTGTCATAGCTTGCTTTGAGCCAGACTCAAGTGTAATCACGAAATGTTCATGAATGGGAAATGGGTCCAGCGTTCACATTAGAATAGAAATAAGATCTAATATACTGAATATCCAAATCCTCTCTCATGCATTGCTGTCGTGTCCTGTCCTACCTGCCGGGTGGCGTGAGACAGGAGAACAATCATCAGAGGTAATCTAACATTGCTGAACTCAAACCCTTTGGTTCTGGTGTATTGCACACATACCAAGCACATGCATAGATAATGTAATTTGACATTCTTCAAAGTCCACAACACTTTACAGCTAATGAAACAAGAAAGGTGCAAGTCAAACAATGGCCTCCTGGACTTTGTGTCACTTGTATCGTGAACAGGTAGCTTGCTATCCCTGTACTTTTAATTCTCTTGCAAAAAACGACACACTTTAGGGAAAATTATATGTTGAATAATTGATTCATTACAATCCCTGGGAGTAAATCAGCGTACTAAGTAGAAGCAGTTTTTTGTAGTGTAAAGCCAGGGCCTGTCACAGGATTATCACTTGTCGGTGTTGAACACAGAAGGTGGGACCAGGCGGTGTTTAGTGCCAGTGCCAGGTATCATCAGGCATTCATCCAACAGATAAGGAACACGAAGATAGAACACAGGTGAATGTTGTAAACCCACAGGTGAGTGACTTGATTAAGTTTTATGCCCTAGCCAGTGATACTTTAGCTGTATGGCTTCATTATATATAAGGCTACTCCAAACAATACCATGCCAAATAGCAGAAACTGGCCTCCCTCCAACCAGAGAGTTATACAATCATCCAGGTGACAACCATTATCTAAGAAAATAACGACTCGTGGTCATTGTTTTTCGTACAATAAAACACTGCAGGGAGAAGAAACCATGACGGGTGCATTAGCGATGTCAACATGTGTACAACCGCTTTAAGCATGATGATAAAATGTACAAGGTTTAAAAATATATACCTGTATTTACAGAATGATGACTCCCTCAATAGAATGTGACCTCGGCAATGTCTGACTAATCCATCTTATGCACAGGTGGGTATTTCCTGCATATTTTCACAATCCTTACGTCGATTACCTGTACCTTTTCTCCCAATACCGATTGTCAATCCTCTCCCACTTTTGGATGCGATCATTCGGCCACTGCATTCTGAGTAGCCCAGCTACATCTATGGGGAACAACTTACCAGACAACTCCCTCTCAAAAATAACGCAGTCCAATATATGACATCATCAAGTTGCAAGGGCATGTTCAAATCTCGAAACCTGAGTACAACAATGGATGATGGATATGTGGGTACCTGTGAAACCTGAGTACAACAATGGATGATGGATATGTGTGTGGGTACCTGTGAAACCTGAGTACAACAATGGATGATGGATATGTGTGTGGGTACCTGTGAAACCTGAGTACAACAATGGATGATGGATATGTGGGTACCTGTGAAATCTGAGTACAACAATGGATGATGGATATGTGGGTACCTGTGAAACCTGAGTACAACAATGGATGATGGATATGTGGGTACCTGTGAAACCTGAGTACAACTGCAGAAGATCTGTACCAGTGAGCGCCATCATCAGCAAACTGAACATCAGGTAGTCGTAGGTCGGGCTCCTCGGGGGAGTTGGGGAGCGTGGAGGGTGTGGAAGATGTGGGGGACAGGCTGGCCGATGATCCTGCACTGGAACATGAACTCGGGCGACGTTCTGAAGACGAGTAGCAGCATTTTATTCCAAATCCTAATGACATTTTATCTGCAACAAATATACACCCTAATTTACCCCTCCTACCCCTACAACACTGCTACATAGCACTGTGGTAGAGACCTTTATCTGTCAACATGGAACTGTGAGTGAATGGACAGTTGAACTGATAGTCCTCATTATAGAGAGTGTCAGATCAACAAGGGGCCCAGATCACTGACCAGGCAAAACAACTAAGTGATATTGGTCCCTCATAAGCATACAGTCAATCAATCCCCATGTACTCATGACCATTTAGTCAATCATTCCCCATTTACTCATGAGCATAAAGTCAATCATTTCCCATGTACTCACGAGCATATAGTCAATTATTTCCCATGTACTCACGAGCATATAGACAATCATTCCCCATGTACTCACGAGCATATAGACAATCATTCCCCATGTACTCATGAGCATATAGACAATCATTCCCCATGTACTCATGAGCATATAGACAATCATTCCCCATGTACTCACGAGCATATAGACAATCATTCCCCATGTACTCACGAGCATATAGTCAATCATTCCCCATGTACTCACGAACATATAGTCAATCATTCCCCATGTAGTCATGAGCATATTATAGTTAATCAATCTCAACCTCTGATACATGTATACATTTTGACTTTTCTTGATGAAGTCAAATCAAGAGGCATACTCAACATCAGTTATCAATGAGTTTGTTCACTTGTAACTCCTATCTGATCCATGACACTATGTACTGAGTATATGTCACAGTTCCTCGGTGTGGACAAACCTCTGCGAGTGGCCCTTCCACTGAAGAGTTTTCCATCCGTGGCCACATTCAGCTCCGTCACTGTCTCTCCAGCTGGGTCCTGAGCTATAGTTTTGTGTGTCTCAGAGCCATCATAGTTCTTCACAGAGAAAGTGAGCATTGACGGGGACTTGACAGGTTTGAACCCTGTCTCCACCTTGACAACCAGTGGGGGTGGGGCGATGTATATACTATTGCTGCTGCTGGACCGAGAAATCTGAAACAAAACAAGCAGGTTAGTGGTAGATCTAACGTCATCAGGACCAGTATATCAGTAGCAACATGGCAGCTGTGGGAGGATAGGATTACTTTGGTGTAACCCACAGGTATAGTTCCAAAAGGGGAAGAATAAAAAATCAGGGTGAATGAGGGATTCTTGACCAGGCGGGCCTGTTTGGAAGTGGAGAAACCAAACACATATGACCTGTTGGTCCTGTTAAGTGAAGGACAAATCAAACACATGACCTGTTGGTCCTGTTCAGTGAAGGACAAACCAAACACACGACCTGCTGGTCCTGTTTAGTGAAAGACAAACCAAACCCACGACCTGTTGGTCCTATTTAGTGAAGGACAAACCAAACACATGGCCTGTTGGTCCTGTTTGGTAAAGGACAAACCAAATCCACGACCTGTTGGTCCTTTTTGGTAAAGGACAAACCAAACACACGACCTGTTGGTCCTGTTTAGTGAAGGACAAACCAAACACACGCCATGTTGGTCCTGTTTGGTAAATGACAAACCAAACACACGCCATGTTGGTCCTGTTTAGTGAAGGACGAAACAAACACACGACCTGTTGGTCCTGTTTGGTAAAGGACAAACCAAATCCACGACCTGTTGGTCCTGTTTGGTAAAGGAGAAACCAAATCCACGACCTGTTGGTCCTGTTATGTAAAGGACAAACCAAACACACGACCTGTTGGTCCTGTTTAGTGAAGGACAAACCAAACACATGGCCTGTTGGTCCTGTTTGGTAAAGGATAAACCAAACCCACGACCTGTTGGTCCTGTTTGGTAAAGGACAAACCAAACACACATGACCTGCTGGGTCTGTTCAGTGAAGGACAAACCAAACACACAACATGTTGGTCCTGTTTGGTTAAGGACAAACCAAACACACGACCTGTTGGTCCTGTTTAGTGAAGGACAAACCAAACACACAGCATGTTGGTCTTGTTTAGTGAAGGACAAACCAAACCCACGACCTGTTGGTCCTGTTTGGTAAAGGACAAATCAAACACACGACATGTTGGTCCTATTTAGTGAAGGACAAACCAAATCCACAACCTGTTGGTCCTGTTTGGTAAAGGACAAACCAAACACACGACATGTTGGTCCTATTTAGTGAAGGACAACCAAACACACGACATGTTGGTCCTATTTAGTGAAGGACAAACCAAACACATGGCCTGTTGGTCCTGTTTGGTAAAGGACAAACCAAACACAGCAAGTTGGCATAATAGTCATGATTTTGAACCTAACATATCATTATTACACTTGTTCTCCCCCAAATTGAGTTTATTATACTTTTTGACGAATTATTTTAATGCATAAAATATCACGGAATATTCACATGAAGCCTTCTACAGCTAGACTTTAATGACCAATGACAGCCAGTTTCAATTCACATGGTGTTAAAATATCCATTACTCAGCGATACAAGGTCTCTTAATGGTTGTTATGTCATTTCAGAGGGGTCATTATCAATCTTTGCAGGTGGAGATAGGGAATTAATAACATGTGTACTGACATTACTTCAGAACTTGAAACACTACAGTGTCACATGAAAATTTTATGAATGTGTGGAGCTTTTACCATGTTTCACTTACTTCTAGACATGACGAAAATGTTGAAGTGAAAACCCACTTCGAAGATTCCCAAGGTGATAACCATAACTCTTTTTCACATGACATTACACTTTTTTTACCCCACTCCAGAAATTTCAAGAAGGGTTGGCATCTCTGCTGGCACTGGGCCACCATCTACTTATCTGCTAGTAACATTTGCCCCTGGGAGACATCTACCAGTCCATCCATCACATGTATCATCACAAACCACAAATTATAGACTGAAAGTCACGATATCAAAAAAAGTGAATTAATTTCCATGTTCAGACATGTTGTATATTTCTGAAATGAATAAAAGCAGCCCTACATTCTTTAGACTATGATGTCTCTGCATTGTAGCCACACTGCTTAAATCAGTCACCCTCTATTATTTAAACAGATTTTGATCTTAAAAATATACCTATCTTAGAAATTGAACTATTAAGTCTACCCCATTTTAAGGGCCATTGTTAAACCTACCCGCTTGTAAGGACTGCCATAGCAGACATCTTTATATCTTCGTTGATTTGCATCGAGCGACATGGAGAGTGGGGAGCCCTCTATACTGCTGCTGGAGGGGGTCCGTGATATGCTGCTGCTGTTGCTGTTGTAGCGTTGTCGTCCGGAGCAGCAGCTGCTGCGCCCATTGCTCCGCAGACGCTGGATGGTAAAGACTTTATGGAGGTCATCAAAACCTCGAGCCATGATCCCTGAAGGTGTGTGTGCAAGGTCAAAGGTGTGTCCAAGTTCATGGAGAGACGCCCCCAGCCCTGTGGCGTAGTTGGCCCAGTAGTACTCCCTGTCACAGAGAAGCATGTTGCTCATCACAAGTCATCCAGGTCAACATGGTCACTTTAAACTCAAAACAGCTGCAATTCAAAGAGTTTCTACTTAACTGTTACTAAAGAAGTTCAGAAACAATGGATACTTATTTTCACTTCATGTAAACTCAGACTCTTATATTTCTTTGTTTGCAGATAATCTGTGTGGAAAATCCTGATAGGTCTGTCAACGTGAAAAAAATAACATGTCAAGTTGCAGGCGAAATATAAAAAAACCAACATGATGCTTTTCATTTTTTCATAGAGACAGTTGAATCGATGAACCAATTTTAAGAAAGGTCTCACCTTATCTATTGAGGAAACAACTAACAAGCTACGAGGATTTATTAAATATCTATTCAGTGTGAAGTTATGGTCCAAAAATGATCAAATAACAACAAAGATACTAGTCCATGTAATTCAGAATCGCATGATACATACAAAATGAAGAACGAGTTTGATCCATCATCCTCGTGTCATTTCACCAAAGCATGATACTCAGCAGTTGTGATTTGGAAAGTTTGCCCCTTCCATTTCAATGAGACAGATGATTCCACTACACATAAATAATGATTTCAAAAAGTGCCCTGCACAAGGAACCTATTTTAACCCTGCCTTTACAATTTTAATCATGCCATGGCACTAAAGTACAAGGAATTTTGAACCCAGCATTGTTAGGTCTCCTGGCCGGAAACATCAGTGGTGCTTCAGCTAGCAAGATGAGTGTTGAGGACATCCTCCCCTTGGGACACCAAGCTTTAAGGCTGGATTGATTTAAATTATGTGGAGAGCTGTGACCACCAAGGCAGTGTCTTTTTCCCCAACACATGAAATGAAACTAGCATGGTATTGTTGACAAATTTGTACATTTGGTCAGATTTCCTTTCATCGTAATTGTCCTGACTACGTCCTGGAATCTGGATATTACCCTCTACTGTCACTATGCTCCCCATATCGTCAAAACACACACATCATCTCTCCTCCAGGGGTAAACACAGTGCCAATCACAAACATGACAGTTTTCCACTGATATCCACAGTCCAATATCTCCAGTCTTTCTACTACTGCAAATCCCAAACCACAACTATTGTCTTTACGACTCTTTGTTTGTACCCTAGTTGAGGCAGTTTCCTTTAGGTAGTTCTTGTTCTTGAAACTATAATCCCTACCCAGATTGAAATTATTAGTAATATCCTCATTCTGCTTTCTTTCCCTGAGAGAAAAAGTGCACTATGAACATTTTCTTTTTTTACATTTCAGCAAAACCACACTGTCAATTGTCGGTCAAGTCAGTTCTTATTTACAATCTCGGGAAGTTTTTACAATCATATCTTTGAAATCCACAAGTTCAGCACTTTTCCAACACATGACTTTGAAAGCTGCATTATAAGCTGACAAGAACTAGCAGGAAGTGCACAGTGAATAACTGCACCATACATATCGTCACAACATTCTGATATTACCAAGCAGAGATTATGTACCTTCACACTACTGTAACCTTCTGTATAAATGTACTGGTGCTTATATTACCAAGCAGAGATTATGTACCTTCACACTACTGTAACCTGCTGTATAAATGTACTGGTTCTTATATTACCAAGCAGAGATTATGTACCTTCACACTACTGTAACCTTCTGTATAAATGTACTGGTTCTTATATTACCAAGCAGAGATTATGTACCTTCACACTACTGTAACCTGCTGTATAAATGTACTGGTTCTTATATTACCAAGCAGAGATTATGTACCTTCACACTACTGTAACCTGCTGTATAAATGTACTGGTTCTTATATTACCAAGCAGAGATTATGTACCTTCACACTACTGTAACCTGCTGTATAAATGTACTGGTTCTTATATTACCAAGCAGAGATTATGTACCTTCACACTACTGTAACCTACTGTATAAATGTACTGGTTCTTATATTACCAAGTAGAGATTATGTACCTTCACACTACTGTAACCTTCTGTATAAATGTACTGGTTCTTATATTACCAAGCAGAGATTATGTACCTTCACACTACTGTAACCTACTGTATAAATGTACTGGTTCTTATATTACCAAGCAGAGATTATGTACCTTCACACTACTGTAACCTGCTGTATAAATGTACTGGTTCTTATATTACCAAGCAGAGATTATGTACCTTCACACTACTGTAACCTGCTGTATAAATGTACTGGTTCTTATATTACCAAGCAGAGATTATGTACCTTCACACTACTGTAACCTGCTGTATAAATGTACTGGTTCTTATATTACCAAGCAGAGATTATGTACCTTCACACTACTGTAACCTTCTGTATAAATGTATTCTTATATTACCAAGCAGAGATTATGTACCTTCACACTACTGTAACCTTCTGTATAAATGTACTGGTTCTTATATTACCAAGCAGAGATTATGTACCTTCACACTACTGTAACCTTCTGTATAACCTGTACTGGTTCTTATATTACCAAGCAGAGATTATGTACCTTCACACTACTGTAACCTGCTGTATAAATGTACTGGTTCTTATATTACCAAGCAGAGATTATGTACCTTCACACTACTGTAACCTGCTGTATAAATGTACTGGTTCTTATATTACCAAGCAGAGATTATGTACCTTCACACTACTGTATCCTGCTGTATAAATGTACTGGTTCTTATATTACCAAGCAGAGATTATGTACCTTCACACTACTGTAACCTACTGTATAAATGTACTGGTTCTTATAATACCAAGCAGAGATTATGTGAACCTAGATCACCAGGCAGACACTTAGACAACAAATAGTCCCTGAAATAAAGGGACACAACAAAACAAAACTTCTAAAGGAACCATCCAGTCTCTTAATTTCAGAAAAAAAGCAGGAAATGGGATGAGTATGTGTAGGCATCTGGAGCTGAGAAGGAGATGAGAGTGGAACATAAATATATGCTTTGGCCATACTTAACCAGCTTCAGTACAGACAGTGAGTCAGTGACTGATCAACACTCATGAAGATAATCAAACCTAGGTATGTTTCTATTGAGCTACATCAGCCCAGGCAATATTGCAATGTAAAGTCATACAACATAGAGATGTTACTTTCACAGCATTCTTACGTCTTAGTGTACAGCCCCAGCATCAACACAGAGATACTTAAACAGACTGACTTGAATTCAACTGATCTTTGTTTGTCTCAGACAATGACAACATCTAACGAAAGTTGCAAGCTGTTCTGAGCTGAATCACTGCAGCTGTTCTCCAAGCCAACACAATCAGCTTGACTGCCTGATCACACCACTTTTCCACACTGCAGCATTACAGATGGTAATATAAAACACTAAATGCTATAAGTGAAAATGTCAGCATTGTATAACTCAACAATAATTGATACTAGGTCAACATATCTTCTGCTGTGATGGACATATTGATGTCTCTGGTGTATGTGACCTTATACTGACGACATCCTGCCTCTCTGGCTCCTCTCTAGTGTTAACACAGAGCTAGTGCTGATGCACTTGTGTTTCTAAGTGTGCAGCTACTGAATATGTGCAGTGTGATTAGCTTCGTTTTGAACTACAGCTTCCTGAACATCGAAGCCCATGCACCACAACAGCTGTGCAGATGGTGACCTCAAGTCTGGCATGGTGATGACGACATTCAACTCAAAATGACATATGTCCTATAACAAACCAAGCAAAATAGGGTTGTGGCACTTGTGACATTATAGTGGTCTTTGTGTTTGACCACAACTATTGGTCACTACTTCTACAATACAAATACCACCAAGCAAATACTGTATTATTCTTAAATTCAGATTAACCGAAGATACAGCCGTCCAGGTTTTTCTTACACTCGTGTAATGTCCGAAGGGAAACCATGCACACATGATATGTTATTGTAGAAAGTAACATTTTCAATATGGTCACCATAGAGGCTACATTTAATCCCCGACCCAATTTCTGTGTTATTGTGCGACCCCACTGCTTTCATCCAGAACCTGCTTCAGACCATGTGGTGGCAGAGACTAAAATATTGTCATAGGACAGATGACCATTGACAAAGCATGGGCTCACATGAATCTAAAACTTCTGTTTCAACCCCTGATGGTACAGCACTGTTTCAGTGTCACTATCAGAAACTAGTGACTCAGAAACATTCATGGTCTGATGACCATCTCTCACGAGAAGTAGGGCTCAATAAACAGACACTGACAAGTTGGATCAATACAAGTGGGATGAGCATATTCATATCAAAGCATCACTATATGCCCTGTGCACTTCAATCTGCTCATCCACATCAACTTATTTGATTAGGGAAGGTTATTCCACTGTGAAACAGGCAGACCTGCTTTTGCTTCCAATGTCATGACAAGAAAACTTTGAATCGCGGCATCAACATGGTGGCAACAAATTATCATGTCTTTATTACAATTGCAAACAAATTAAACTTACAATAAAATAATGTTCCCAAAATGTTTAATCAACAAAGTATTGTTTAAAACAATATGGACAAAATGGTTTTCAATTCATTCCGTCTTACACCATGTTTAGACAGGTTACCTCCCTTACATACTGAGTTTGATAAACACAGTCCTTCCACACTAAATGAGTGGAGTAGCTAGCCTATCCAGGCCACATGGGCACTGAGCCAACTGGAATGAACCAGCACATAGGCACCATCACTATTGCGGTACACTTTCTAACACGTCATGCATTTCAGGGTTTAAATAAAACTAAAACAGAAAAACTAACAACTTATCAGGAATTTAAAAATAAAATAGACCAAAAATGACATGTTATAAACAATTAAGGAAGAGAATATATATGTCAACTTCTTTATTAGATGATTGGCTTCCCTTGTCAGTTTCTACCCTTCGTTATTTTCCACCTTTTGTTATCTTATATCCTTACATGTACATATATATATTCTCTGCCTCATGGCATTCATTCACCTGATGAAGGAGTAAGCATATACTCCGAAGCGTTGTGTTCCTAA